ATCTCAAATTTTAATAGTTTTAATTAATTTTCTTAATAACCAGAACTTTTTATAAGAACTCCTTTTTGTCTTAAAATGAATAATAAAGATTTTTTTTCTATTGTTTACTCCATCCGCGGACACGCTCTATATAAAAAAAAATAGTAAAACTTTAGCGAAATCGATTAACATTAACACGTGCCCCAAAGCACTTGAAATTTTTAAAGGGAAATACATGTTAAGGAACAGTAAAAATGTTTCCAAGACCAAAGTAGCAATATCTTACTTATTTTATTATACTAATTAACAATCTGCCTTGCAAAAGTCTCGGTTGGCTCCAGTTTGATAGATCCAGGCTAATTTTGATAAATAGTTAATTACCTGATTACCTGATCCTTAATGCATAGGAAAATTCGACCATACCTGGATTTATTATAGGAGGTATACTTAAAACACAAATTTTGTTAGTTGTATTTTAATCACCAGTTGATCCAGAGCTGCTCGTATTAGACTCGAAATTAGACTTTTGAGCCACCTGTCGCGAGCTTGTGTAACTAAGCCAGATCATTTATGTTATATATGTGGTGAAGTATCGTTTATGAAACAAAAATCTACTCTTAGCATAAAAAAAGGTTACAACTTGTATTTTGGCTGCAAACTTTAAGGCTAGGATAGGGCTCCCCATATCTGCTGCTACAAATGTGCAACATTTGCGGCTGGCTGTCGAAAAAAGCGTAAGATGCCCTTTCCTGTTCCTATGATCTGACGAGAACCGAAAGACCACGTTACTGACTGCTACCTTGTTTAACACCTCCCATAAAAAAGGACTTTCAGAGAAGAAAAGGTCTGCGATACAGTATCCAAATTTTCAAACGTCCGGTGCTAACTAAGTTGCCCGTATCCAATCCACCTCATTCTGATGATGATCAAACGGATTCAAAGAGTTATATGTCGGAAAATGTCGCAGGGCCATCATACTCTGATTTTGTCTGTGAACTTCCCAGTAAAGTGCCTCACAAAATAGGTCAGTCAATAAAGTGACCTCATAAGGGATTTGAAATTGACCAAGAAAAAAGCAGAACTATTGGACTTAAAATTGCAACAATGGAACCTTCTTCAAGAAGGAGTAATTAATTTCCAGAAAATTGTGGTGACGTAAGGACGAAAACTGTAAGAGGTTCGACCAGGATATTTCAAACATGGAAAACAGATATCAGGGAAAATGGAACTGTGAGATGTTAGCAGCAGTTTAGACAATCATTTTGAGCTTCTTAGCCTTTCTTTTAAAAGCAGTCTTAGTCAAGAAGTAGTCTAGACTACTTCTTGACTAAGACTGCTTTTAAAAGAAAGGCTAAGAAGCTCAAAATGATTGTCTAAACTTTATATAAAATGATAAAAATGTGCTTTTTGATTGCTTTTATTGAAACAACAATATATTGTTATCTGTTTTTTGTATGTTCATTGTATATGCTTATCAGAGTTTTTTTGCGAGCCAACTAAAATCTTAAATATATATTTTTTCTTCGGTGTAGTTAAATCCAAGGAAAGAGAACAAAAGTTGAAATTTGTTTCCCAGTGTAATTAATAAAAAATTGTCAAACTTCGCACAGTACGACACCAGTACACATTTTTTAAGTTTATAAGTACGATAAATATCATTTTTTAAATCATACCTATCCTGTTAAGGGTAATCAAATATATTTTATATATTAAAAAGGAAATACTCTTAACGGGGTAGGTATGTTTTTTAAAATTTGGAAAAAATTGTACCATAGTTTGATATCTTTTTATTAATTATTATACTTTTACAAAACTTTGAATGAAAGGCTGTAAAAAATAAGTACGTGTATGTTCCATTAAAACTTTTAATACATTTTTTTATATGTCCTAATCACTTTTATCCAGGGATGGTAAAAATCGGAAATGTATGCCTATGCCTATATATTTTTAGGGATATTAAGTTTTTAAAACAAAGGTTTGAAGACAATTTTTAGTTTTATCAAAAATGAGTTACCACATTCTTTCTTGCACCCGTCGATACATTACATTATACAATTTTGGCAGGTAACATTTACGGTCATACCATTTAAATACAATTCACGGCCTTAATAATGAACATTAATTAAAAGAATTTATTGGTTGATTTTTTATACTCCAAAATGCAATTATTCATGTTATACCCAATTTCATATTTGTATGTCATTTTAATTTTTTAAACACTTTAATGAACACTTGATTTCGTGGAATTTCTTTGGCATGAATTCGTGGTTCTCATTCAGAAAACATTGTTTTTGTAAACCCAAGTAAAAATATATTCTGGGTGAATATTTTAAAACTGTCGATTTTCGGAACCATTTTCGTTAACACATAAAAAAATTGCAAATCTTATTAATTTTGAACTTTTAGTACTTTTCCACTTATATTTTTAGAAAGTTGAACCCACGGTTTTACTTGGTCATCTCTTATTCTTCTGCGTCTCTCACTTTCTTCTTGTCTTTTAGCTTCGTTGGTCAACTTATTTCGTGGTATAGTCATTTTAATTAATTTCCCACTGAAATTAAATAATTTAAATTGGTTACATGTAAGGGACACGAAATGACGAGCACGGTAATGATGATTTTAAGGTTAGAGTGTTTTTCAATGTTTATTCGAAAATTGCTTTTTGTTAATGCAAGACTCCTTTGTATTAATGTAAATATTTTCCATAAAATTTAAAATAATACTTACCCCGACAATGACGGAAGACGTAACAAGCCATTTTCGTTTTCATACGGCGCACGTCACAACTTTATGGTTTGACATATGCTAGTGGGCGTTAGACAGGCAGGATATTTAAATATCAGACGTTCAAAAATTTCCGGCATTTTCCAAATGTATCGCGTATTTAAATATGAAATTAGAAACATTTTAAGTAGGCACGGCAATGACGCTCATGGGCAGGGCCGAGCCTAGGGTATCTGCCGCCCGGGTGCAAGAATTAAATTTGCCGCCCCCAAGGAGTTCATTCTCAATAAACATATAACAAATTTTATAGTAAAATAACAAAGTATTTATTAACAAATACATAAAAGAATAAAATAAAAATACATTCAGGAAAAAAAAACAAAAATAATTAAACTAAACTAAAAATCTAAAATCTACTTTTCTCGCTTTTTTAATAGCAAATTCCCTAATCAAGTCGCCTACATCCAAGTTGTTAGAAATATCTTCTTCAATACTTATAATTGCTAAATTTGAAAGCCTGAATTGACTCATATTGGATCTTAAATAGGTTTTAATTAGTTTTAATTTCGAAAATGACCGCTCTCCATGGGCAACAGTAACTGGTATCGTCAAAAATATTCTTAAAGCTACAAATAAATTCGGAAAGATGCCTTTTAAATCATTAACTAGTTTTTAACTTAAACGCATTAAAAGACAAAATAAACTACTATGTTTGCATCCTATTTGCCTCACGTTAATAGAAAAACTAAAAATTGCTGAAATACGCAGCCGTCAAATCTGAAGAAATTATGCTTTAACTTAGCTTCAGCTTGTAAACAATATCACGTGGTACACAGCGCGCGATTTAATTGATTTCCCGTAAGCCCGCTTCCGTAAAACATGAAACTTGACGAACTCGAAGCGGACGGACGGAAAGCGAAGCGGGCGGGCGGCAATCTATAAACCGGGCTTTAAGAAAATTGTCATCATTATTTTTTGGGGCTATCGCGCGTTCGGTTATGTCTTTTTTATCATTGCCGCCTGACAGCACAATTTTGGCATTGTTTTTATGTGTAGAATAAAAACGATGATTCCTTGAAACGCCGACATCAATAAAACGCAAATGATTTTTAGAAAGTTTTTTGCATATTGCAAGGTGGCTTTTTTATTCTTGATAATATGAATTTTTTGATGATATTTTGCCGCCCTGTGTTAGTGCCGCCCGGGTGCCATGCACCCCTTGCACCCCCGGCACGGCTCGGCCCTGCTCATGGGTGTGCACAAAGTTTAAACGGCATTAAAAGAAAAGTTAACATTTTAAAATGAAATTTCTTGATTGCAATGTATTATTTTGTATTTTCTTCGTCTGTGTTAGATAGGATATTGCAAGATTTAGTTTGTAAGTAAATGTAAGAAAATAATTTGTTGTTGTTTTTCGAATGTTAACAAGGCACGGTAATGAGTCATTACTAATGACGTTTGCGATACAATAATTAAAATATATTTTTTACAATGCTCGTTTAGACTAAAATAAGTAAAGAATTAAGTAGTAAATAGTCGATTAAACTAGACATCAAGTATTTTAATTTCACCTATAATATAACAAGTGGTATAATTATCATCGATGATATTTTCGAATTAAAACCGAGCTGCGGGCTCGTGAAATGTGCTGCTTCAGTTTCAATCATTAAATATTATCGACAATTAATCATACCACGAGTTATATTTAGTGAGAAAATATATTGAATTTTAGGATTTAACGAATTGTCAGTTTGACATTTGAAATTAAAATGGGCTTTAAAATATAAAAAGACTTTAATAAACCTTATTTATTCAAACTTACCTTAATTTTATTATCGTTTACACCAACTCATCGATCTTTTAGAGTTTATAATTCATTATTTTAATCATATAACAAACAGTATTTAAATGTCAACAAATGTCAAATCAAGAAAAGTGTCAAAATCCTTAGGAACGTGTAAACAAGGTGAAAAAAAATATTGTCGCTGTGATAAAATGCGTAACCATGGAATACTGGCATTTTATTGGTTCTAATTATAATGCATTGTATTGTCAGTGGGATATTAACTTTTGAAGTAACAAGCCAGAACCGATTAAATTACACTTTTGAAATATTCACCCTTCTACATCATTTAAAAGTTGCATTATGCATACTCAGTTAGTTTAATAGTTTAGAATAGTTAAAATAAATGATGGGTACCACTAAAAATTTAATTATTACTTAGTAATAATTTAAAATCACTCAAATGACAGAAACTCCTAAATTTTCCAATATCCAGTAGATACTTTGAAAAATAGCTTAATGAAAAATAGTCCCATTTATTATTCACAAAAAATCACATCACAACATAAATTACTAAAAACATAATTGGATATAATCTTAGGCAGTTGGGGCTTTAGCTTGAGCGGCAGCGGCGCGGGCTCGGATGTTTTCAAAGAAACACTTGTGGATTTTGTATCCCTTTTCACAAGCGTCTACGCCAGACATACCTTCGCATTTCTTGACGTCGGCAAGAGCCTGTTCTTTGTGTTCGGCTGGCAGTTTCGCTTCGATGGCGCTGATCAAGAGGGTGGCGCTTTCGTCGATGTAACCTTGTTTTTGATAGAAGCATTTAGCGAAACATTGCAGTTTTTTGTTGGAGTCGTCAAATTGTCCTTGGTCGGCGCTGGTGACAGCAGAGACTTCTACTCCTGATTCTTTCATACATTCATCTCTGAATTTCAAGAGTTGCTGATGGATCTGTTGGGGTGTCTGTTCCTATTATAAGTATAATAACAATTTAATATTTTAAAGAGAGCACTTTAAAATTATAAATAAAATAAAATTATAAAATCTAATTAGTTTTCCTATTCTTTTATATTTGTATAGAGTGTTAAAATGTAATGCTTCCTTAATTTTAAAATAGGATTATGTTATAAAATTTTAGTTTAAGGCAAACAAAAATACAATTTAGGTAGAAAACAAAAGAAGTATCCACTGGGCTGGAGAAAGCGTACATGTGGCAAACAGATTAGTCTGGAAATTCCGCCCAGAGGTAAACGAAGAGGGCTGTTTGAAAAGAAAACAGGGAGAAGCGTTTTGAACTTGGTACTGTACAGATCGTTTTCTTTGGTAAAATTGTAAAGTCAAGTTATTGTTCTAAAATCATTGTTAAAAGTGTTGTTAGTGTAATATTTAATCTATCTAAATGTCTAGTAAAATTAACTAAACGTAATATTATGCATTTTTTAAATTATTAATAATATTATTAAATGATTATTGCTATTATGAGTATATTTATCCTTTACTATTACGTTTAGCTGTATTTTACGTTAATTTTAACCTTTTTCTTTTAGCTGTTAACATTGTAATTTGTTTTGTGCTCAACCCAACAATTTGTACCTTTTTTATAACGTGATTAAGCATTATTTTATGATCAGTCTAAATTTATTGACTGGTTGCTTAAACAGGAGTTCTGACCGTTACCGTTAAACTTTGAGTACTGTTTGATTGTGTGCTTGGACCATTGTTGCATGAACTAATATTTTCCTTCGTGAGGGGAACATGTTGTACTAGGTTCTCTAGGGCTGCATCGCTATTCCCCGACTCTTCAACTAAAATAGGCAAGTTGCCTCCATTGCGGACTTCGTTACATCCTGGGCATAGCCCGGTTAACTAACACAAATATTCTTCAGTTTTAAGTCTTTGTTGAATGCAGTATCGAGCCACATCGCCAATAAATTAATTTGCGTAAATGTTCAAGTACAATGCGTATTCCTTCGTTACTTCATAGCCGACCAGGGTTTTTTCTCAGGCTCTTTTTCCCTGGCCGAACCCTCCTAAGAGCCACCACTTGCGTGTTTGTAAAAGTTAACTTAAATTAAATTGGGGTAAACTTAACCACTGTATTTTATTTCTTATAAGCCTAGTTCTCCCACGTATCATTCTTAAAGCAATACAGCAACAAGTAAGTAAACATAACGTAGAGGTCCAAATTTGGGTAAGACGATCACGAGCCAAAGCCACAAAATATTTAATTTATCAATTTTTCATAAAACTTATTTTAAACGAACCTGGGGTACGGAGAAATATTTACAATAAATAAAATAAAATTATAACATCTAATTAGTTTTCCTATTTTTTAATCTTTGTAATTGAGTTGTTAAAGTTGTTAATTTGTACAAAAAAATATCCTTCAATTCAAGCATAAAATTTACAAATCAGTAATTTATTCGATTTTATTACATTAATAAACTAAATTATCAATGAAAAATAAAATAAATGTATCTTACCTGAGTGGAAAATCCAATGAAGGAAAGCAAGCAAATAGCAAGTGCAGCGGATTTCATCTTAAAGCCTGGTACTAGATTCCTTGGTGATCTGGGGAAGTAATGCAAAGAGTTCGACAAAATTTTTGCTTATATATCATCAAAACTAGATTATCAAGGTCGCTATTTTCGGATTTATTATTATATGGAACGGGATCAAATGCATTAAGTGGAATCTTTGGTGTTCACATCAAATCACTAAGAATATCTTTAGATATCTTAGTTGCAATGCTGGGGTTAACCTTGAGCAGCTTTGCGGGAGCACCTATGATTTTCTAAGAAAATAAATTATATCCTTGTGGCATTTTTATATAAATAGAATAGCAAAAGACCATTTACTAAAAATACATAATTGTCGACTTAAGGACCTCCAGTCCCGTTCTAAAAAATCTATAGAAAAATATTTGCGAAGAGAAAACCAATTACCTACACTAGTTTACATTTTAATAAAAAAAAATGTACATTAGGTGCCACTTTTTTTCTACTGTTTCTGTTATTGTGTTTTATCAGCTTATAGAATAGATTTTGTTTATTTTTATTGTAGTATTTTTATGATTACAATAATAACGTAAAATTACAAAAATAAAAAAAACTTAAATGTTACTACTTGTCCATAAACAGTCGTAACTTTGGTACTTATCCATATATTTTTATATGGAAAATTGACTTTAAAAACTGTTCTACTTTTATAACTTTTGGCTTCAGGGGACAATTTTACATGGACATTGACTGCTATGTTCGGGATAAAAATTACTATTGACGAGAATTATTAGTGGCTGCTTTATCGCTATTACAATTAGTCATTTTTTGTTTAATTCATTTTTAGAGAGTATACTCTCTATAGACACATAAAAATAATTTAGACCAATCGGATAGTCAGGGGCGTAGTTGATCGATTTTTACTTTTATTTATTTATTCCATTTATTTCCTTTTACTATGCCTAAGTGTATATAATGTTTCTTAATTTTAAAACCCAAAACCCCCCTCATGAATTTTCTGGCTACACCACTGCGGGTAGTTGCAAACTACTTTATGAGGTTAGTAATTGATTATTTACCGCATTTGGACTAATCATAAAATTTGATATCTGTTAGATCTATCTAACCTCACTTTATAGTTTTAATAATTGTTCGTTTCATTTATCGTTTAACAAATAATATTGTGTCTTAATTTATTGACCGATTAAAGATAAAATGTTGTATTTCATTCAGTCAAGAAGATCTTTTTGTGCTTCGTTCGATTAAACTTTGAACTCAGCTCAAAAAGACAAATAAAACTGCACTGCTCAACAATTGAACTGCAGTTCAATTCATGAATAATTATAATTATCCCGAAATTTTAAGTTTATAATGTTGTTAAGTTGATTCCACTCTCTATGTTGTATATAGACACATCTGCAGTAAACATTTTTTAATTTTGTTGTTTAATTTTTTTGTTTTTACTTCTTTAACACAAATATGTAGAAGTGTGGTTTTAAAATAACAACCTTTTTATACGAGTAGAATTCGTGTACAGGGTGATCCCCTATAATGTCGCCCCCCTTTAACTTTTTTATTTTAAGTGTCCAAAAAAATTTCAAAGTGTGGTTATGTAGGTACTAAAAAATACTTTTTTTCTACGTATAAAGAAAATTGTAAAATTGATCAATATACAGGGAAAAACAAAAAGTTTATTTTTTTCAATGGATCACCCTATATATGAATTTATTTTTCGATTCCTTGTAAAATTCTGAGCATAATTCATATAACAAACCATATCCTAAATTCAACTGAATATTTAAATTTTTTGGGACACCTAAAATAAAAAAGTTAAAGGGGGGCGACATTATAGGGGATCACCCTGTACAAGTGTTGTTTATTCTTCTAATAAAACAGTGGACTGTAAATTATTTAAATGGATTTAATGTGAAACTACACGATTAAATTTTAAAAACTTTAAAAAAAGATATACTTACTTTCTTTTACGTCAAAAAAATAACAACAGCCGTATTCCTAAAAATCTTCTTAATGCAGGAACGGACTGGAAAGAGCTGCAACACTTTTAGTTAAGGGTATTTCCGCGAAACCTTACCTTGACAAAAAATCAGATGTGTTATTTACCAAAACAAAAACTATATCTGAAGTCAAATATTTTAATTGCGACTTATTTTATAACCTTAAAATATTTAAATGCTAAGAAGGTAACTTTTAGAATAAACACGAAAGAGTTTCAATACTCGATAAAAAGTTTAAATGTCGCACCTGTTGCATTTTGGGAAAATTTTAGAAAATAAAGTATAAAATATTTGTGCGTTTAAAAGACACAATGGAAATACCTTTAAGAAGAAGTTCTAATAGCGACTTCATTACTTGTTAATTTATTTTCTTATATCATAAAATCCATTAGTAAACTATTATTTAGTGTAATTGTAATTTTTTATTTTAAATGTGTATTAACGCTGAGAATTTTAAAATTGCTTTTCACTTCAATTGTGGAGCAGTGGTAGGTCTACAAAAATACCAAAAAATACATGTGTACTAAAATTATGTCCAATCTTTGTGTTTAGATCATTTTTAAAACAAGTTGTAACCCCCAATTTAGCAGTAACCAAGTTCAAAAAGAATACTTGTCAGGAGTCCTGACTCAGGACAGAAGAAATATGAACTCTTTTATAAATATTTTTTAAAATCTTTTGCAACTGGAGCCTATTTTCAAAATGGTGGCCAACTGTCAGATTTTCTAAATGTTAAATACAGTTTTATATTAGGCCAGATTTAGGTTAAAGCTAAGCAAACTTTTATGTCATGCTTGTTCGTTATTGCATCCACTATATCCATGGCTAAATAATGTTAAGTAGATATTATCATAATATTTAATTTTATATTTTGTAATTTTATTTATTATTAAGTTAATCAATTATTTAATATATTTCATATTATTTATTGTTGAATCGCTTAATATTTAAACCGACTAAGGCCCGGTTTATCAATCTCTGGTTAAGTTCCAGTTAGTCTATCTGACAGTTAAATTCCATATCGATCGTTGTAAGAACAATGGTATCCATGGAGATTATCTCGACATTGATAAACCGGCCCAAAGTGATTTGAGCAAGCTGAGCGACTTGTTAAATAATTATATTATGTTTATAAACATTGAACTCCATCTAACATTATGATGCATTTGTGGTATAGGTAGTTTTATTGTTATACGATCTGTATTGGGTAATTTCCTAACCTTAACTGACGAATACAATCTTTGTGCAAATAGTGAAATAAAGAAAATTCATTAAAAAAGTGGCTAATATTTTAAAAAAGGGTTCAAATATATAAAACACATGTTTACCATAATTGGCACAAGTTTAAGTTCTTTTTATTTACATCTATACACTTTTTTTTTAGAAAGTTTCTAACAATGCTAGTTGAAAATAGTATTCGGATACTTGGATTCGAATACATTTAACCTGTATCCGAACCCAGCTCTGGTAAGTAATAAGTAATTTAAAATGTTAAAAAAATTACTTTTTACAATATATATTTTTTTAAGATATACATTTATTTTATGTGGTACCTACCAATTTTTGGATATTAAAATTTTATTTTTTGTACTTATTTTTATATGTAGTACTTACTTGGTCCCCGATGCTACTTAACAAGGATGTTGGATGAGGAGGATATAAGATATTTACTTTAAGAAATATAAAATAACAAATTACGAAAAATAATCCTACCATACTTTTTTATTTACAAGAAATCACAAAATATATTACTAAAAATATCATCAAATGTAGTCATAGTCCTTAGGCTGTGGCAGCTGGGGCTGCTGAGGCGCGGACGTGTTCATCGAAACACTTGTGGATTTTGTATACAGTTTCACAAACGTCTTCTCCAGTAATTCCTTCACATTTCTTGACGTGGGCAAGAGCCTGTTCTTTGTCGCCTGACATTTTGTCTGCGATAGCACTGACCAAGAGGGTGCCATTTTCGTCGACGTAACCTTGTTTTTGGTAGTAACATTTCAAAAAACATTGCATTTTTTTGTTTGAGTCGTCGAATTGTCCTTTGTCGGCGTTGGTGATAGCTGATTTTTCTACTCCTGATTCTTTGATGCATTCATCTCTGAATTGTGTGAGTTGGATCTCTTGAGGTGTTTTTTCCTAAAATAACAATAATATAAATTAAAAAAAAAGCATGTGAAATATAAGTAAGTAAATTTATTTAAACAGTTAATGAAACTAGATTAAAATTAATGTATTCTACCTGAGTGGAAAATCCAACGAAGGATAACAAGCAAACAGCAAGCACAACAGATTTCATCTCGAAGCTTGGTATTAGATTGATTAGTGATCTGGGAAAGTAATGCAAAGATTTCGAAGACTTTCTGCTTATATATCGCCAAGAACTGGATGATAAATGCAGTTTTGGGCTATTTTGGGATTTGAATATTCCAGATAACGAGATATAATGCATGCAGTGATTTTTAATCGTGAAAAGGTTATAACCCTAAAATATAATTTATTCTAAAACGTATAAAACAATAAAATTTAAGATTGTTAGGTAATATATTCTGGCGATAGTGTTATTGCTAAATAAATATAATTAATTTAAACTTAATATATTTAAATTTAATTAGGTTTTATCTCATTTTAAAGTATTTTTTTTAAGGAAATGGCTTGTACTTTTCCTATACACATTTTAAATTTATTTTTGTTATCTATAACAAAATTAAAATTTCAGCTTTACCAGCCACTTTATATACCTATTTAGTACCCTAGATAAAGTTACCTTTTAGTTTTTAGTTTAAGTTCTTTTTATTTACATCCATACACTTTTTTTTTTGAAAGTATTCTAACAATAGTATTTGAAAGTAGGATTCGGATACTTGGATTCGAATACATTTAACCTGTATCCGGACCCAGCTCTGGTAAGTAATAAGTAACTTAAAATGTCAACAAAATTACGTGTTACAATATATATATTTTTTAAGGTATACATTTATTTTATGCAGTACAGGTCTACCAATTCTTGGATATTAAAATTTTATTTTTTATACTTATTTTTATATGTAGTACTTACTTAGTCCCCGATGCTACTTAACAAGGATTTGGATGAGGAGGATATAAGATATTTACTTTAAGAAAGTTTCTAAGAAAATTTAGTTTGATTGACGATTTAAAACTAAAACTAACGAAATTAGTTTAACTAACGATTGACGATTGAATTAGTTTTAGTCATGTAAAAGATTGAAATAATCGATTGAATTAGTTTTAGTTTTCAATCTTGATTAAAATTTTGATTGAAATTGTAATGTCGTGGAAAACGCAAAGTAAACGATTAATTAAATTATACAAATCGTTTATACATTTATACATAGTGTGCAAAAAAAAGTCCTATACAGAATGTTTCAGAATATGTGGGCAATCTCCTTGATTTAGATATAACACATAAAAATAATATGACAAGTTCCTATACATTTTTATATTTTAATAAATGTAAAAAACCCCATTGTACAAAAATTTTTTTTTCGTAATATGTACTTTACATTTTGTCGTTGACGATCAGGATTACCTTTTTTTACTTAAAGGTTTAAGCTGACTAAAAATATTATTGTTGTGCCTTTATAGTACAGGGTGTTAACAAAAATAGTATTGCTCTGTTAGAGCTAGTCCGTCCCTGGCAAACTAAATAAGCCAAATTTAATTAAAAGTGTCCATTTTAAGGAAACTTTACTAGTAAACAATATATTTAAAAATTATTCAATTCCACCAAAAAAAAAAACGATTTCCAGGGGTGTCCGTATGGGACCGTATCTCCGTAGAGGGGAGCGTAGGAAAAAAATATGAGATTATATTATTTTTATGTGTTCTATTTGAATCCGGAAGATTGCCCACATATTCTGGGACACTCTGTATGTTTATATAAATAATCTTTTATTTACTTATGCTATTTTTTTTATTTATTAACATACAATTAAACAGATAATTTTTTCTTGGTTAGGTACGTCAATGTTTCCGATTAATTATAATTATAATTTATATATAATTATATTTAAATTATTTTTCATGACGACTCTTTTCTCAAAAATCTCATCGGATAGTTTGTGTGATTTTGTTGCATGGGAAAACATTCGTTCTATGACGGCATAGGCGTATTGTATTTTACAAAGACAGTTTTCATAATTTTTTATAACCTTGCTTACAAATACGGAATATACCTTTTTAATTAAAAATTTCAATCAAACTAAAACAAATAACTAATGATTACTTGATTTTAGTTACGACTAAAACTAAATTTTTAATCGTGATTGATTTAAAATAATCACTAATTTTTTAGTTTGATTCGTCAATCGATTGAAAATATTAGTGACTAATCCCAACTCTTAAAGAAACATAAAATAACAAAAAAATAATCTTACCATAATTTTTTATTTACAAGAAATCACAAAATAAATTACTAAAAATATCATCAAATGTAGTCATAGTCCTTAGGCTTTGGCAGCTGGGGCTTGAGCGGCAGCAGCAGCGGCTGCAGCTGCGGCTGCGGCGCGGATGTTTTCAAAGAAACACTTGTGGATTTTGTATCCAGTTTCACAAGCGTCTTCTCCAGTAATTCCTTCACATTTCTTGACGTTGGCAAGAGCCTGTTCTTTGTTGGCGGCTGGCAGTTTGGCTTCGATAGCGCTGACCAAGAGGGTGCCATTTTCGTCGACGTAACCTTGTTTTTGGTAGAAACATTTGGCAAAACATTGCAATTTTTTGTTTGAGTCGTCGAATTGTCCTTGGTCGGCGCTGGTGACAGCTGATACTTCTACTCCTGATTCTTTGATGCATTCATCTCTGAATTGTATGAGTTGCTGTTGGATCTGTTGAGGTGTTTGTTGCTAAAATAACAATAATATAAATATAAAAAAACATAAAATCTATAAAATAGGTAAGTAAATTTATATAAACAGTTAATGAAACTAGATTAAAATTAATGTATTCTACCTGAGTGGAAAATCCAATGAAGGATAACAAGCAAACAGCAAGCACAACAGATTTCATCTCGAAGCCTGGTATTAGATTCCTTAGTGATCTGGGGAAGTAATGCAAAGATTTCGAAGACATTTCTGCTTATATATAGCCAAGAACTGGATGATCAAGGCCGCTATTTTGGGATTTGAATATTCTAGAAAACGAGATATAATGCATGCAGTGATATTTAATCGTGAAAAGGTTATAATCCTAATACATAATTTATTCTATAACGTGGAATTTCAGTAAAAAACAAAATTTAAGATTGTTAGGTAAGATATTATGGCGATAGTGTCATTGCTAAAACAAATATAATTAATTTAAACTTAATATATTTAAATTTTATTAGGTTTTATCTCATTTTAAAGTAAAATTTTTAAGGAAATGGCTTGTACTTTTCCTATACACATTTTAAATGCCCAATTCCTTAAGTTATGTATAACAAAATTATAAATTATATCCAGTATTATTTAATATAATTATTCTTATTAATTAAAACATTTAGTACAGTATATAGGTATATTAATAAATAAATCAGATATTAAAATACACTTTTTATCACATTTACTTTTACCATTAAAAGTTTATCTTGAATATTCTTAAATAAAAAAAATAACGGAGCAAAGATTAAAATATATACCTATTGAATAATAAACTGGTTCAATATTTCTTTTATAAAAACTTGTTTTAATGTATGAATTTATGTTAACGACCTTATAAATATTTATGTTTAAAAATAAAATAAGGTTACCCATCTCGTTATTTCCAATATTTTATATAAAATAAAATAAATTGTAAACCGATTAATTAATTAATTAATGCAAGACATTGTCAAATAACACCCACAAATTATGTTATAAAATAAAAACCAATATCTGTGGAAAATCACCATTTTTAAATTGTCACCATTATATTTGTTTGGTTATAATTATTTTAGATTTTCATCATTTTCCCAATTTTTATAAAGTCCACACCTCTTTACAAATCAGTCTTAACCATGATTTTGCAAATATGCACTATAGTGTGGGTCGAAAAATCGATTTTTGTTAAACTGATTTCTAATATGTACTAAATTGTAATACCACCATTTTAAAAGCATGTCCCATTTTTTTTTTAAATTTAATTTAAATCTATTTACATTGGGTTAAAATATTTTAAAAAAATTGTGTAAATTTTGTAAAATGTGGCATGACTTTGAAGGTATCTGAAAGTTAATTGTTAAAATATCGTTATCGTTATCTTAGACAAAAAAAAAAGAAAAGAAAAAGTCGAAAAAACGCATTTTAGGTATCAGTCGGTATCCAGTTTGATTTCAACTTTGTTCAAAAATATGCAGTTTACTTTAACAGCACAAAGGATAAGACCTCAAAAAAAGTAAAGAAATGTGTCAAAAACAACCGACAAATTATTCTAGTAGAATATAATATGCAGTGGCGGCTGGTGAGTTTATAATGACATTAAATAAACAAGTTCTGCGCAAGCAGAATTTAAATTGAAGTTGGCGAAAAAAAGATAACTTTTCGCTCGGCCGTACCGGTTCCATGGTGGCCCCAATAAATATAATATAAATTTAATTGGTGCAATTTATTATTTACCATAGTTAATCAAGAAATTTTAAATTTCATTTAAAAATCCAAATTATACATATTTTATACCATTTTAAATTTTTAATCTTTTTTTTCAATACGAATAAAATAATAGTAGTAAGTAAAATAGTAGTAATAAAATATGCGAAAACATAAGTTGCAGACGCTGAAGTCGGTTGAACTTGTTGGTGCGAATTGTCAGTTCCAAATAATTTGTTAAACATTAACAAAAAGCTAATGCCACAGTTTAAAGACAATGCGCGGTAGCGATAATTTACAATTTTATCAATATAAGAACAAACAAAATTTCTGCAAAAGCGATATTAAATATTTTGTCCTCATTGTAAAAAGTATGTATTGTCTTATTTCATTTATTCCTTTATTCAATTCATTTATTCAATTCATTTATTCCTTTATTCAAAATGAAATCTTTTTGTACAAGTTTGCATAACAAGAATGGGCATAATATCCACATTTACAGCTTTATCACTTTCAATTGTTTGATTCCCGTAAATATTTTTATAAGCATAAACTACAGCTATGTGAGAAGATTATATGAATATGTTTTGGCCTTTATTTCGCCATTTTAAAAAATTTAAATAAGGGGCTGTATTTATTCCTTTTTACAATAACATTTGAACATTTTAAAGAGGGCCTATCTTTTAGTACCGTATACAAAGTTTGAGCTAGATCGGTGAGGTAATGTCCAAAATTGGTCCCGTTTGAGAAAGAATTACTCAGCTCAGGTATTAAAAAGCAAATGTGGTATCATCACGTAGCAAATTTTCTTTAAAATTAAAACTAAAATTTGAAAAAACCCTTCTTATAATTGGACTATCTTGACTAGTTCGTATTTGTAACAACGACTTTTTATTTAACCAAAAATAAAAAGTCAATAAGTAGTCAAGTTAGGACTCCTGGAACGATATATAGGTATATGAAAATTTTAAGAAATTTGAAGTTCAGTTTTGAATAGTGTTAGTAACGCATGTTTATTAGGGTGACCGCAACTCATAGGGGGTGGAAAAAAATGTCGGAGTTTTGTTCGTCTGGACCCCACAAAACGATTCCCCTTTCCAGATATTGAGTTAGCCGAAATTTGAGCTCGATTAAACGACGTTAGCCCGTGCCGCTCGTCGCTTAAAGTTTGAAAAAATCCTAATTTTTGGCCAAAAAGCTGACATATGGAGCCATAACTCCAGAACGGTAAATAAAAAAAATACGCTTAATATCTCAAAAGAAAGCTAATGTTGTTCTTAAAAAATTGTAATCTATACATAATTGTTGTTATTTTAAGTCAAACCGAGTTACAACAGCCTTTAGCCCCAAAAACATGACCTGGTACCACTAGGAGCATACTTCGTATATTTTGTTATTAAGTGATAAATTTTGCTTTTATTGGTATATTTTTGAGTTTAAAGTGGAAGTATAATAAAAAAACAAGTAATACTGATAAATCTAATGACATTTTTTATTTTAAAATATAAAAATTAGGTATATAATACATACAAAACAGACACAGAAAAGATACAGACGTAGTAACTACATGAGTTGATTTTACATAGTTATCTAATCTATTCTAGAGCTTTTGTTAAAGTAGTTTTTGAAACGTCAGGATATAATGCTCGGCATTTGCTTACAACTTGCAGGACATATTGCTTTTGGCCTTCATCTTTAGTCAGAAGGTTGTTAAACACCACGCTCAGCCATATCATTAACTACCTTTAATGTTTTGACAATTTTCAATCCTTCTTGGAAGTCATTATTTTGAGGCCAGGTGTTTGGATGTTGTCTTAGGAAATCTGTTTTTATATTAAATCGGTTAAAGAATGTAAATGTTTCTTTGGTAAGTAAATTTACCAATCCTCCATCAACTACCTCTTTTAATTTTTCTTTCCTAACTTTTGGATTCACAACCCTAGCGTGTTCTGATGGTTCATCTGTGCTACTGACCAATTTATTAGCCATTAACAACTTTTCATAGTCTGTAATGGTGGGATCAAAAAAAGATAATCCCACCAACTCTGCATTCAAATACCTTCTTGGATTTGTCGGTTCATTTTTGCAAGTTCCTTTTGCCCCTTGATTTCTTCAGCTCGAGACAACTTGAGATCCACTCCAGTCATGGAACCTGGGCAACCCTTCTGCCTCTGTTTCACGAGAAACGCCTTATCTTCTTCCGATTTCATCAGAGCCAAGGCATCTTGCTGAGCAATATCAAAGAGATCATCCAACTTTTCAACGAACTGTTTAAATTTGTTCTTAGCCGTTTCCGATGTTTTCTTCCGGTCTTTTTGAAGAGTTCTCCACTCGGCGTAAAGTTTTTCCAGCTTAGTAATTGCATCTTGCTCATGTTTAGTCGGAATTCGAGCTTTCTCCCAAAAAATGAACACTTCTCGTATGGCAAGTTTTGCTGATTCTCTTACAGTTAATTTTACAGCACGTAAATTATAAAATAAAACACACAAAACTTGACGATTTGAGGGTAGTTTACAACCGGTGATTTAGTGAATGGGATAGCCCACAAGAAATATTTTATCCTTGGTTCGGCTTTGTACACCTGATGTGGATGCCATTTTATCCGTAAAACATAAGCATACCACTCTATAGGCCGTCTTATATTTTCCTAAAAGGATTAATGCAAATAATTGTATAAATTAAATAAAGGTAATTACCTACCTGATTTTTTGTTAAAACTTAACCTTTACCTTTATTTAGTAAAATACACACAGGTAAAACTAAATAATAATTTTTGGAGCAAATAGTAAAAATAATTTTAAAGAGCCTTTTGTTTAAATTTAATCTTTTATTATATGGGGATTACCTGACTATATTTGAAAAAAGGCTCTTTTTGTTTGAAAATTAAGTTCCAAAATAGTTTTTAATAAAAAATGTTAATTCCGAGACACATTATGTAAAAACCCGTAAAACTCTTAGAATACACCCAAACTGGCTCCTAATGCTGCCAGGGCACGTTTTTGGGGTCAAAGGCTGTTGTATCTCTGTTTGACTTAAAATAACAACAATTATGTATAGAATATAAATTTTGAAGAACAACATTAGCTTCCTTTTGAGATATTAAGCGTGTTTTTATTATTTACCGTTCTGGAGTTATGGCTCCATATGTCAGCTTTTTGACCAAAAATTTTGATTTTTTCAAACTTTGAGCGACGAGCGGCACGGGTTAACGTCGTTTAATCGAGCTCAAATTTCGTCTATCTCAATATCTGGAAAGGGAAATCGTTTTGTGGGGTCCAGACGAACAAAATTCCGACATCGATTTTTTGCGGTCACCCTAATGTTTATAAACGTATACGTCTAGCAAATTTTATTTATAAAAAATCTTTTCCAAAACGTTTACTTTAATATGATTAAAAACAAAATTTAATATTATTTAAACATATTTTGTTATAATTTATTAAAACAAATGGACCACCCGATACAAAAATAAATAAAATAAATAGACACTAAAGTGGCCCCATTTTTTTTACTTGTCATTTTTCCACATGTTTACCATCTAGCCATTTATAAATAAAAAAACATTATTACCCACCACACAAGAAATTCTCACCAACTAAGAACTAAATGTTACATTTTTACTGTACAACTAAATTCCGACTTTAATCTGCTCATAATAATAATTCGATTTCCTTTTGCAGAAATATGAGCGCCTCCGCAGAACAGATAAAACGATTGAATTTGGAAAAAGCTACGAATTTTATGCGCCAGTACAGAGATCCGGACTCTAGGGAGCTTAAAAAGCTTTCGGCCAATCAGTTTATGGAAGTTTGGAGTCATTACGATAAGGACGGTGAGTTTTTATGTTTTTAACACAAAGTATAGTTTTAAAACACTTTCTATGATATGTTAGTTATACATTAAAAGTTTAATGAAGTTGGAGTAATTTATTTTGGTTTATGTGTATGTAAACACCAGAGAGGTCATCTTTAGTAAATAAAATAACGCCCTTGCCTGGGCGACAGTTAAGGCAAAACAAACCTCTGAATTTCGCTATTTTTGAATTTTAAAATTATTAAATTCAAATATAGGGACATTTAGAGGTCCGTTTTGCCGCCCTTTATTTAAAAATTATTGAATCAAAACTGGAAACCTGAAAATATATAATAATAATTTATTTAATTATTCATTTATAGAAAATACAATATAAAACAAATTTGAACATTTTAAAACAAGTATTTATAAATAATAATAATAATAATAATTAAATTCCTAATATTTATTGCACTATATGGTTTGTTGACTCAACAAACAATCTAGATAGGTCATCGTTTATATTTCTTTGAGCAGTTAGTAATTTAGAAGAAAATAATGTGATATACAGGGCATCCCAAAAATAGTGTGCAATCTCTACACGCGGTTTCTAAAGACAAAAGTAGAAAAAAACCTTATAAACAAAGGTCGGCAAATGACCTCTAAAGCAGCTACAGCCTCTTAAAGGGTCTCCTCTGAAGATTTTTTTTATTATTATTTTCGAAACGGTTTGAGATAAAATAATGAATTTTTGTACGCTTACCTAATTTGTTATGCTAAATTAAAAATATATATATATATATATTGAAGTGTATTAAACATAATATTTTTTTGGCTGTAGAATATAACAATTTTAATTCTTGTAATTTTCAAAAAGGACTACAAAAACTTTTTTGTAGACCGAGTAAAGAAGTATTTGATGGAAATTGGGAACTTCCAATTTCCTAAACAAAAAAAAACTATTACCTACAATTCTGAAAACATCAGATTATTTTGAACCTCTTGTAGAGTATCGCACACTATTTTCGGGAAAATTATATAAATATTATTTTTAAGTTAGTTTAAATAATAATAACTAATTTGATTGTTTAGATAAGTACCTAAATGCGGAGATAATTTATTATTATTATTATTATCATTATTATTATTATTAGCTTGTCTAGGCATTAATATATAAATGTTGTAAATTATTGCCGAGGCAATCGTTAGTGTCGTGAACTGCTTGTTTTTAAGAATATAATTTGTAAATGGTATTTGTACTAAAAATAAGTACTAAACTCTAATACTATAAAGAATGACCAGCAATTAAAACACTTTTTTTAGTTTATAACAAAATTAACAAATTAATTTTATGAGGAAAACCGTTTTTTTGGCAATCAGTTTATCCGGAAACTTTAAATCTCTATGCATAAAAAGGTGTTAATCTACCTTTAAAATACAACACAACCCTCTGAAATTTTTTGATTTAAAAACAGCTCTAAGTGCTTTATTGTTTATTGCAAATGATTTACGCAAATAATTTGAAAGATACATGCAAAATATGTGTATTGCGTTGCGCATATATTGTACTCTCCCCACTGCAAGTTGTAAGAGAAGTTTTAGTTAATTAAAATTAATAATTATATACGATTTTCCATGTCAGAAAATATTGTCTGGACTGGAATTTTGTCAACTAAGTACTAAGTACTTTTGCACAACCAATAAATTTTGAGGATAATACATATTTACTATCTGCTATAGTAGATATGTGTGCTGAGAGAAAAGCACGCAAACTTAATTTTTAATTTTGGTTGGGCATTTTTGTTCTAGGCAAATATATAAATTGTTTGTTTTACTTAAGTTTTTAATATCCCTCTTATTTTACTAGATAATTTTATAGATCCGGGCCTGTGTGTAAAAGGTCAATAACCTAGCACAGTTTTAAGTTAATAAAATTAAAATTATTAAAAAACCCAATTTTTTCCCATTAAACAGTAAAACAAAACAATTTTAAAATAGCATGTTATCTCACCTAAATTATTTTTTATACTAGATCAAATATTTTCTTGCTACCAATCCATTTAATTTATTAAAATATATTTCTACATAAAATATAATTTATTCCAGGAAATGGTTACATTGAAGGAACAGAGCTGGATGGTTTTTTGCGAGAATTCGTTTCCAGTGCAAACATAACCGACATCGGACCCGAAGTAAATATTGGTCCCTTCAGGAATTCATAAAGTTCAAACTCAATTTACTATACTAGTAGATACATGAAACGTACTTGGCTCGACATTTTTTAAAGTGCATGTTATTTACATTTTTACCTCGCGTAATAAATATCAATTTTTAATATTTTATGTATTTGTGTCCATTTCACGTATAAAATGAAGTTATGAAAATAGTTTAAATAGTGTATTGTTTCATGCATAAAGGAATATTAAAAAAATATTTCCGTATTATTTCAATGGGAAATTTTAAACTCTTAAATTTTAAATTAAGAGTTGGAATATGGACACTTAAAAATATTAATTTCTCATAATTATTTCCCTCGCGGTTTTATGATTTTAAATTAATCGACGTTCTTTTCGCAGTTAGCGATTTACGCTGAATGATTTATTTGCTTGTTTTCACTAAATGCAGATGGTAAATAAATAATGACTAATCAGTTGTTTTATGGTCAAAATGTCGTGGCTTGGGCGTCGATGTATAGTTTCTCTATGGTCTTTTAACTGTGAAAAACTGGGCTTTCTTTCTACTGTGAAATTCGCGGTAAGACTGTTGTGTTATGCAGGGCCGGATTAAGAGTTTTGAGGCCCTGGGGCCGACATTTGGTGGGGGCCCTCAATATTTCAAAAAATTTTGACACTTGGGAAATTAAAACTTGTAATAAATTTTTAAGCTAGAGGAATCATTTATTATTTAATAAACCATATAAATTTTAATAAAATCGGCCAAAGCGTTTTTAAGCTATACCTAAATAAAAAACTCATTTTGTTTTAAACGAAACAACCTGTATCTCGATTATGAAGCATATTCGGACACGTGTTTATAGGAACTTTTTTTCATATTTTGATGAGAGGAATTTCCCCTGAGCTTTTGTCAACACAAGTCTAAATCACCCTGTATATTTTGTATAATACGAACATAACCTTAGGTATATACATTTTACCCAAGTCTGAGAAATTATAAATTCGTATGCAAAACTATAAAAACGTAGATAGTAGAATAGAATTGTGAATGAAAGTGTTTTTATATACTTTATATTTTATATATTTTGAATAATACGAACATAACCTTATAATAATATAATATAAATTGATCTATGTTTTGTTTGTATTTTTAATACCGCAAACTGAAAAAAAGTGCATCAAAAGTCGTATTATTTGTCTGTTTTTCATACTAAATCAAACAATAAAACAATCTTTTGTCCAAAGAAAAATACAAAACAGTATTTCGGAAACACCGGAAAATATTCCACAACACTCCAATGTACCAATAAAAATCTGGGACAAAAATTAACTTTGATATTAGATTATAAGTAATTGACTGTTTGCCTGTATTTACAAAAACGTTAGGACAAGCACTAATTAAAGGAGCAACTGCTTAAAATTGTTATAAGTCATAACTTATGACTATAGACTATATAAAAACTTTGAGTGTGATAATTTACATTCTGATTTGCAAGCGGATAAGCGATAAAAAATCCGCGAAAAATTAGAGTTAGATCTACGAAAAATTTATTGAAAATTACAGGATTCGCGCGGTTTAACCGACCCAATTTTTTGTTTTTTCGCAATTTTTTTTCATATTTTTTTAATTAAAAAGCGACATATTGCATTGGTGGGGGCCCCTAAATGGTGGGGGCCCTGGCCCCGCTGGCCCCATGCTAAATCCGGCCCTGGTGTTATGGAATTAAATGCGTTATTCGATGAAAAAATATTTTTATCCGAAATCGGCAGTAAAGTAGCCAACAATCGACAGTAAAGTAAAAGAAATCGGCTTTAAAGTAGAACTTTACTGCCGATTTAATACGAGTATTGTATGCAACCCATTATACATTTCAAGATGTGTCTACTGCTCCTCAGCAGCAACTAAATAATATTTAAAAAAAGCACCGTCGCGGAGGTCGATTGGACCCTTTCATAAAATGTTGTTTATTATTAAATGTGATTTCGGATAAAATTTAATATGCACCTCGGCATTAAAGTCATTTTTGATACATAAATAACTATTATAAAAAACTTTGGTTTTTTATTTCAAATATTATTATTATTTTAAATATCCCCCCGCCATTTTCGTCCCTCCACATTAATAACATTTATCTTAAATAACAACCCCACTTTTTTTCATAGAAAATTGATAATGCACATTTTTCTGAATACAAGGATACCCCATAAGTAGGGCTTAGTAAACATAGTTTTTAATACATTAGAAATACAATAACAGAATAAAAACAAACTTTTTATTTTAAATTAATTTAAAATTAAAAAATAAACTGTTCTTTAATCTTATAAATGTTTAAAATGTTCCTTGTCACTTCCTGAAGTAATCTACTGTGAAATTGTTCCCGCACTCGGTTGTATGTTCCTAATTTCTGCAGTTATTCTGTTTTTTAATTCATACAAATTAGTCAAGTCTAAAGGTGTTAGATTTGGTTATCTTGCTGGCCATTCTATGAAACCTCTTCTTCCGATCCACCTGTGTGGAAAGGTGTCTTTTAAATAATTCCGTACAGGAAGAGCCTAGTGGGGTGGTGCACCGTCTTCTTGAAGCCATATCCTCATATCCTCATTTGGAAACAACTCTGCTAAAGTTGGGGCAACTTGTTTTCTTAGCATTTTCAGATATCTTTTTTATAAAAATAGTGGGGGTTTTTCTTCTGCCCATTATCTGTAATTATACCTATTTACCTCGCCATTTAGAAAAAAAAATAGACAAAAGAATATCTGCAGAAGAAATAACATTCCTGTTTAATATATCCAGCATTTTCTGGATGCATTTTTTGGCTTTAATAGGTACATGCTAAAACATTCGATTGACTAACGTCGTTTTTACGTGAGACCTGACACGTATAAGTTGTTGGATCATCTTGAAAAGCTAATAAAATTTTCTTTCACATTTTCATCAATAAAATAAGGCGTCCTGCGTAATGGTTTAAGTTGTCCATATTCACGAAATTGTGCATATATTTTAGACACAGTTGCCTGGGAAAGTGGTGGTAAATCTGGGTGTTTTTCATTGAAAAGGTTTGCAACTTGCTCTTGGGTATTTGCATTGTAACGGGTGCGGCACTAAAACTGCGTTTTTTCATGATAATAAAGTGTTTGTTCATATAATATAATATATAATATATATAATCGGCAAATGCGACCAAGTTGGCTTCTAAAGTTGATAGTGTAAAATTTTTGATGAAAGCATATAGTAATAATTTTTTGTGTAAAACTTGAATAGTCCCCTTAAACAAGCACGTATTTTAAATGAAAAAAAATTGCATACTTTTTTTTCTAAAATTTTCTTAAAATGTAACGGGTGCGACATTTGAACATTTTATCGAGTATTGAAACTCTTCCGTGTTTATTCTTAATGTTAGCATCTTCGCATCAAAATGTACGAATATTTTAAGGTTATAAATTACGTCGCAATTAAACTATTTGATTCCAGATATAGTTGTTGTTTTGTTAAATAACACATCTGATTTTTTGTGAAGGTGGGGTAAGGTTTCGTGGAAATACCCTCTTGTGATCTGCATATATCACCGTAACCAATCATCATTAATAATTCAATTTGCAGAGTACTGTTATGTCCCATTTTTTAACTAAAACATTAAGTGTCACAGCACTAATGAGAAATTATTGCAATTTTATTAAGAGCATTTGGATGAAACAAAAGACTTTAACAAGTAAAGCGTGAAATGTTTTACTAATAATAAAAATGTGCTATGTAGCATGTTAATTAAACAATAACTAAACAAAAAAACATGAATAGCTAAATAGCAAAAGTAACAACACAAAAAACCAATGCATAGGATAACAATAACAAATTCATACTTGTTATTTGTAAATAATCAAACTGTATTGAAAATTATGTTTACTAAACTCTACTTATGGGTTATCGTCGTACTAGATAAATGTGCAAAATGTGATGAGGGGGAAATGGTGGGGGCAAAAAATTTAAAATTATTATTATAAGATTTAATAAAAACCTAAAGTTTTCATGTCCGAGCGTTTTTCATAAAAATCTTTTCTCATCGAATAACGAATTCTATTTCAGCGTACGGTAAAGGTGTTTCGACCATGAAACTACGATGTAATAACCTGATATTCACACTTTTTCCAAAGTGTCACAGTAAAACAATCAACGAATTTTTTTCTGTCCAAACACTATAGTAAGACCGAAGTTGTCAGCGTAATTCGCTCAAGGCCATAAAACCTTTATTTATTTGTAAATTTATTATTTTTATTATGTTTTTGTTATTTAATAATTATTTTAGGCAGTTTCCGATGACATGTTAATAGAATTAAAAGCTTGTTTTATGGAAGCTTATGATGATAATCAAGATGGCAAAATTGATATTAGAGAGGTAAATAATATATTAATTTAAGTTAAAGTTAAAGTAAGTAAGTCTTTAACCAACAATGTTTGGGTCTAGAATTACATGATTCCAATTGCTGTTAAAAGCTGATTTAAAGAAAAAAGTTTTATTTTTCATGTTTTTTATGCAAAAATTCATCAATTAGAAGCTTGTAATTATTTGCCAAGAACAAATTGTGTATGTGTATTTTCAAAAAAGTGTTTTATTTAAATTAAATTTTTAAAATTACAAAAAAAATCCCAAATGTGCAAGGTTTAATTATTGCTATTATATATTAAATACCTAGTAATAATGTTTTTAGCTAATTTCAATATTGTTTTCTTATAATTTAAAATTAGCTAAAAATATTATTACTATAATAGCAATAATTAACTCACGTGTAAATTTTAGCCCATATGTTTTTATGTTTGGCGAAAATTTGTACAAATTTTTGCTTTATACAACTCATCACTAAAAGTCTTGGACCCCTGTGTCTCTTGTATAGATTTTAATTTGGTTTAGATAATACTGTAGGGAGGTGAAAATATCACAGCTAAACGCTCGGACACGTAAACTTAATTTTTGGTCGTAGATTACAAATCCGTGCTTGGTTTAGCTGTATCAGGTCAAAATTTAAAGATAATGGAAACACCCTGTATAGATTTAAACACCCTGTATATATATATTTTTAAATTAAATTTGGCGGGACCCACACATCAGTTCCAAATTTAAAAAATTAACAAATTTGAAGTTAATTGATCAAAAGATACACGTGTCCCTAAAGGTTTTTCTTGGATAATTTGGAAAAATTAAAATGTTTTTGCTGATTTCTTTTATTGAGTATAATTGAGGATTAAATGAAATTAAAAGTATAAAACTTTTGGCACAAGAGGTAAATTATATTATTTTACAAAGTAAAACGGATCGGATTTCCAATAGGAAAAACTTTTTTAGACCTGATACAGCTAAACCGAGCACGGATTTGGAATCTACGACCAAAAATTATGTTTGCGTGTCAGAGCGTTTCGCTGTGATATTTCAAAAGTTAAAAATTTACCTACAGTGTAATTATTTTAAATGTACAAGGGTGGTTAAAAATAAACAAAATGCATTTTGTTTCACCATAGTGAAAATGGTTTATTTCAAAAATAAAAGGGATTCAAAAAATCGATATTAACTCTCTTAAAATGAATTAGTCAAAAATAACTAATAATAAGTCATATTTGACTAATTGTCATAGCGAAAAAGCAGTCACTAATAATTAGTCAAATTCAACTGAATGAAATAGTCAAATTAGTAAATTTAAATTTAAAAAAGTTTTGACCCAGCCTGGGATTGAACTCAGGTCTGTCACTTGACAAGTTTGTCAAGCTAACCTCATAACGCATTCGGCTGTCAGCCGCTCTTATAAAAATCAATTTTATTTGTCAATAAATATTGTTCATAATATTTTAGTTTAATATATTATTATAATATATTATTTGTGTTGCTGTTTTGAGCTAAACTTTTTGCATCTTTATTTGTTTTATGGGTCATTTAACCATGGAGAGGTATATGCATTTAATTCAAATAAAACTTTGTTGTTGGCTGTAAACGATTAAAGAAATTAGTTACTTTTAACTGTCAGAAATAGTCAAATATGGTGACTAATCTTAAATTAGTCAAACTTTAACTATTTACGTAGTAAAAAATAACTATTTTAAAGTGAAAACGACTATTTTATTATTAAAAAATGCTGGTACTAATTCAAATAGTAGAATTTTGACTATTTCATTTTTAGAGAGAAGACAAAACATAAAAAATATTGATAACCTCTTAAGGTATACGGTTCCACTCTTTCACCTGGTGTATGCGATACGCAAAAAGAATAAACCACAATTTAAAACTTTTTAAAAGGGGGGTTCCAAGACTTTTGGTGTTGTATTAAGACAATTTTACCAACAAATATATTTTAGCTAGCTCAACTTCTCCCAATGGAAGAAAACTTCCTTCTACTGTTCAGATTCGACAATCCATTGGAGTCAAGCGTAGAATTCATGAAGGTATGTTTTTTTTAACACGAGGTACAAAAAAGTGTCTAAAATATTTCCCCAAACGGGGTATAAATAACGCTTGAAAGCAATCTCACTGGGATTAAAATTAACCGATAAATTGTATAAGCCAGTTAAAAAAAGAGATATTTTTTGTACTCGGTCACCCGCATCGACATTGTTAAACCTTTTTACTTTTATTATGTAAAATGTATAAAGTGCCTAGTTAAAGTGCTTTTAAAATGCATAGTTGACAGACTTCAATATAACCGTTGTTATCTTTTATTAAAAGTATAAAATCGTTAAAGTTGTGTAGCTTCTTCATAAAACACATACCTATAATATATTCAAAAAAGATAAATGTAAAATTTGATGAAGCTTTTAAACGTTAACTTAACAAACTTTATAAATTAACAACCACCCAGAGCAAAATTTGCTTTAAACTAAAACATCGCAAAATTTTCAAACATTCTCATTAGGTTTAAGTTGTTTTATTTGCGTATTCCTTTCCTAATTAAACATGTTAATGCTTTAAATTATTTTTCTTGTTACGTTTTTTACAGTGAGCGCGTATATTTTTTAAACATTTGGATTTAAAAATTGGAATTTTAGTATGTTAACAAGTTTTGGATCTAATTTCGGACATATACCAGAATCTCAATAATAGGTAGTTGAATTTAGTGAAATGCCTTGTATACTAAATCTGTAATTTGTTTTACCCGTTTTTTTATAACCAATCCCCCCAAAACTTTTTTCTATCTACGGCCTTGACCATTGATACGGAGAATAGTTACTATTCTCCGCATCAATGGTCAAGGTACTGTACTGCCCTGCTAAGCCAAACCCTCGTATATGCATACAATATTAAAACAATAAAAATTATTACTTTATACTGCAGATACGAGGTTTTAGCTTGGCATGGCTGAGTAATCCACTCAATAAACTACTGGAAATAATTTTAAATGTGAATAAAGTTCCTCACTATAGTGTCTGGCACTACTTTTTAATGTGATAACAATAATGATGTTGTCAAAGTAACCCGGGAGGTCTTATAGAAAAAATATGATTTAAAATAGTACAAGACATTAATTACCTACTGTTTTATTTTATCCGTGTACCTAAAATCAACCTGAAGTCCCTTCAAGCTGGACTATCCCCAAAATATGATAAAAAACTTTCCAAAGTAATAGGAAATGAAGTGAAACACATGTTAAACGAATTTCGACACCACCTTATTATTTAGATAGACGCATGTAAAACTGACTGGTGTAGGAGCAGCATTTGTCATCAAAGACCATTCTTACAACACAAAAATACCAAACCGCGGCAGTGTATATTATGAAAAATATTTGCAAAACAAAGTTCACTACAATTTTTAAATCTCATGTACCATCTTCAGGTCTTATCTGCTGGGCTTCTGTTGCTGCTCTACTGCGAGTTATCAGCCCAGCAGATAAGACCTGAAGATGGTACATGAGATTATACCGAAACGTCGACAGACATACGGTTCTTTTAAGAACCAAAACCCGACGACAAAGAGCAGATCCCGAAAATCCATTAATACATATAAAGCCCGTGGAAACCTAAAGCAGAACGCTCGCAAGCTCACTCGTGCCTTCTTTAAATTAGTGTAAAATGATATTTATTAACCTTGATACATAACATACTATTTTCTACTCACACATTGCCAATCTGTGACTTTTTGGCGTTTTAGGCCTGAAGTTAACTTTATTATAAATTGAGAAAAAGTAAGGTTAAATTATTTAGATGTAAAATATTTAACATTTAAAATTGGCTTATGGCCACTTGCACGGTTTTCTCTAACTGATCAGTTAAATTAACTGCCAAGTTAAAAGGTAAAAGGGGATTAGTGTACAAAATCTTGCACCGTGATTTTTTAACTATGGTTTAAAATTTAACTAGTGATCTAGATAATTTGATTAAAAAATGGAAAAGATTGGTGCTAATAACTAACATCAAACTTATTTTTGACGAAAATATATTTTGACGTTAAGAGTTCGATTCTTTATAATCTGTGGTTCGATTCGATGATAAAGATGATAAGGATCTTTATCATCTGTGGTTCGATTCTTTTCATGTATGACCGATTCAGTTGATGGCAAGAGAGAATAATATGTATACAGAACCTGAAAAAAGGGGGCGCTTCTCAAATTAATCTTGTGGATACAAGGGTATCATTGAAAACAAAGAGACAGATAGGGCTGAAACAATTAGAGCAGGAAATTAACAATAAAAAGGATGTTAAAGAAACGACTCTTTCGGATTTAAAAATTTTAGAAAAAAAGAAAAACTTAATATATGTAAATATATAATATTATAATAATAAACAAGAAGTGACTATTTATTTTATTTTAATTTTAAATAAGTACCTATAAATTAAATAAAACATCAAAAATATTATTCCCTTTAAATTTTATAAATTTGCAAAATAGTCTTGGATTAATTTGTTTTGAAACATAATGCGATCTTGTGGATGAGTAACAACAGGGTACTCCAGTTCATGGCATGAATATCATCAGACAATGGCGGCTTTGGTTTATTTATGTCTCTAGCAATATTATATAGTACAGCTGCAGATGGAATAATGGAAAAAACTTTATCTAGTTTTAATCTTAAGCCATATGCCAACACTGGAAACCTTCTTTTCCAAATTCCAAATTCTCTTTCTATTATATTTCTGGTTCTTATTAGTGACTCATTATAGAGTTGCTGACCTCTATACCTATAACTATAGTTATTGGATTTGCTAAAGATGTCAATAAATAATATCTTCGGAAAAAAAGATCTTGAATACCGATGACAAGTACTTTTGAGGTAATAAATCGTTAACGGTGGATTAAAGTAATTTAATCCTCCGAAATTAAAGGTTTATTTTAACCGTAGTTTAGTGGTATTTAAACAAGGATTAATTTACGGTGCAAGCCAGTTATGAAAAATAAACCTGTGTTAAAAAATAAACCACTGTTAAACTTACGGTGCAAGTGGCCATTATATAAACTTCTCTGGACACTCGATTTAGTTTAACACACTCGCAAGCTCCGCTCGTGTCGAATAAAACTCATAACTAAAATGGAGTTTGTAAAATATTATAATAGTACGAATATTTGTTGTCTTTATATGCAGTTGGTTATTTAATTAACCTCTTTAGTGTTCATTCTTCAATTTTTAATATTATTTTCTTTGGCGCCCTTTAGTAAAATATAACTTTTTACGATTAAAAAATTAAGTATTTTAAATTTAAATTAACCCTTTATCGCCCCTAGTTTATTTTTTACATCCATTAATAAAAAAAATGGTTTTCAAAAATGAAATCATTTTTTTTATATTCACCCCATTAGCCGTCTTTTTCCAAATCCGTTCCAATGTGTGTTGTTGCTAACTTGCCCCATCTAAACTTTTGTTTTTATGTTCGTTCAGATATGGAGGGAATACGATACGGACGGTAGCGGATACATCGAGGCTGATGAGTTGAAGGTAAGCGAAAATACTCCCCTTAGTCAAGTTGTAAAACTTTAACCATATTACCTTTTTTTTCGGCAGAATTTTCTGCGGGATTTGCTCAAGGAAGCTAAAAAAATAAACGACGTCTCTGAGGACAAACTTATTGAATACACAGACACTATGGTAAGAATTTAAAATAGGCTGGTCAGCATAGTTTTTAAATTTGAACAAAATATTTTTGTAGCACAATTTAAATGAATTTTTACGTTTGTTTTATTTTTGCGTAATATTTTTGTTTTAACATTCTTAACATAAGTTAATTAAGCAAAATGATGGTCATTTTTTAAATCAGCACACACAAATTATGAGTTGACCACACGAAAAAAAGCTAATTTTTTAACCTTGAATATTGCTATAACTTTGGGTTACGTATAACATAAGAACTGATTACTTTGTAAAACCAGAATAAAATTTGTAATATTATACAAACTTGTACAATAACAATTAGGTAAAGTTCATTTTTTTATCTGGACTACGGCAACGTTGCAAATTTAGAGTTTTGGTTGGTAAATACAGTTGTCAAGTTGGTCGCATTGATTAAAACAAACTAAGCTAGTTATAAATCCAATTGTGGTTATGTATAAATTATTGTAGGTTACATTGTGGAGTTGTCAAGTTGAGTTGTCGAAATTCGTAGTTAAAAATGCAATTAATTTGGCTTTGGTGGTGCTAGGATGAGTAAAATCATATAAAAAAGTAGTTAAATATAGGTTGCTTTACGGCCCAGAAGAGAAAGTATTCCTAGCGGATAATAATCTTCGCTTTGAAAAGAATTTATATAAAATATTAAAATTTTTTGTAAACGTAAATGTCCAATGGTGAATAATGTGAAAATAATGTGTAATGTAATATTTATAAAACCAAATTCGTTACTTTTTACTCCAAAAATGTCCATAAGGCGATGTACTTTTTCTTTTTGGCATAATTTCATCAAAATCAAGTTTTGCCCTCAAAAGGGCTTTTACATTCGAATTCGTTGTTATTATTTTTGGCATAATTATCTTTTTATTTATAATTGACAAATAAATTATCAATAATAAATATTATTGTCAATTTGACAGTGTCAAAGTATTTAATTAAATTCTTTAGCAGAAGTACCATTTTAAAATCCTAAAAATACTAAGTCAAACTGGCATAAGACACCAACCAAACAAAAAAACACGAGTCCAGATAAAAAAAATGAACTGTACTAAACAAATATCAATATTATATTGGGTATTGATTTGTAAAATAATGAATTCTTAATATTAATAATTGATATTTTATTTTATCGTAACGTGCCATAATTAAGTTCAAAATGTATTACTTTTTTAATTTAGAATACATAAAAATATTAATTTTAGGTTATTTTTTGTACTCCCACCCTTAAAACGCCCATTATCGTACATGTTAAATAAACATTTACAAGTTGTTGCTTTATGGCGTTTTAGTTTTAGTTTTAGTCACAGGCTAAAGTTAGTTTAAAGTTAGTAGATAGTTGTCAAATGCCATACAATCGTATACAAAAATTCTCTGCAAAAATCAGAAAATTTTATTTTGCTGACCTGCGTGTTTGTTGACCAGTATAATTAAAGTAAAGATTCTGTACCGATTCTTATCAAGAACAACAATACCTAATCAATTTTTTCATTTCAGCTTCAAGTTTTCGATTCCAATAAAGACGGACGCTTACAACTTTCAGAAATGGCAAAGTAAGTATTAAAACTTTTTTATTTATTCCAAACTTTTCAAACAAGTCAAAACTATTTGCATTAAGTTTGCTAAATTACCAGATTCATTGAAATTTTTGAAAGGCAATTCAAATTTATCTTTATGTATTTTATCTGATTAATAACCAATAACTTTTGCAGACTTTTGCCGGTTAAAGAAAACTTTTTATGCAGGCAGGTGTTCAAGGTGAGTAATCAGGTTTTTTAGATCTTTTTAAATCAATGAGTCATTATTTTTACATTTCTTTAACTTATTACATAGGTATTTAACAAAACAACAATGCTATTGTTTGTCAAAAACTCTTTTTACACAAAACTGCAAAGTCTTAGGCTAATTTTTTATTCCTTCTAAAAACTCTTTCTATAAATTTGCACTTTTACTAAATCTTTTTAAGTAATTGCACTAAGTAGATTTAAACTAAATTAAAACTAAAATTGATCAAAATTAAAAAAAATTCAAATTAGGCTAAAAATTAATCCAAGTGTTAAAACTAATAAAATTAAATATGAAAATAAATGTTGCACGGCTTTTCTTGTCTGTCTTTGTTATTAATGCATCTTAGGAAGGAAGGGAAGTAAGTAAAACAAATTACTACGATGTTACAATGTTTCGCAAAAAGCTTTATGCAACCAATTTAAAAGAAAAATGTTAAATCCTCATCTTTTTTTGTTATTAAGTATTTTTTCCTGTATTAGGTTGGCCATAAAAAATTATATTTTATAATTTCTTTTAATTATATTATATTTATATTAAAGTTAACATCCCTGAAAATACTTTTAAATAAACAATTTTCTGAAAAATATAATCTAGTTCAAAAAAATTCTAAAATAATATAACTTTTTAATATTTTTAATTTTTAATAGTCCTTATTGATAGGGTATAGCTACCTAGTTCTATAATTTTATAATTTTTATATTATGTTTTATTAGTAATAAATTATACCCCATACTCTTAAATTCCATGCTATAATATGTATATGCATATATACATGTATATACATTATGTAGTTCATTTTTTTTTATTAAATTAAATTTATATCTACAAATTTTATCAATTCAAATACCTATAGCTATAATAAACAGAAAATCAACAAAGAAACTGCATTATCCTAAATTTAAATCGAATTACCTAATTCGAAAGCCAGCCAATTAACTTGTGCTCTAACTAATTCACGGTCTGTGCAAAGCCATTAATTTGGAAATTATTACCGGTCTCCGGTTACCAGAATCGGGACTTACATTTGAATTTGTTGCCGTAGTTACCGTTTTCTATGTATTTAGAACAATGTTGTATGTTATCTAATTTTGTATTAGCAAAGGCGTATCCAAGTGCCTAAAAATGCAATCTAAGATTTCATGTGAAACCGAAAAAGAATTTAATAAAATAAAGAAATAAAAATAAAATCAATTTTGAAGTAATTCAAAAAATCATAAAAGTTTTGGTTCTCCTCTCTCCCCCAAAATAATTTGGATACGCCACTGCATTTTAGGCCCTGCACCCCTGCTTTTTCTGCTGCATGTACCATTCTTAAATTTCACATTTATAACATAACAAAAACATCACCACATTACCAGATTTAAATGTTATTGAATATATTGTTTAAAATAAAGTTTGCCTTGATAATTTAACACATATTTTAATAATGGTTATTTATATACACAGGTACTGTTGTTTTTAACCTGAAATGTATTTTTCTTACTACCTCGACTACGTTGTTTCGTCCCCGATTTCACGGCAGAAAGTTTACGTTTCTTGCATTGCACTCAGAGAAATATCAAGTTATGAAAAGCATATGAAATTATATTAATTTAAATAATCGGGTAAATTTGATTCAAATAGAAAAAAATTTAGTTTTACATTCATTTACCAACAGTTTTACAATGTTTTGAAACACTTTTAAAGTGTACCCTCTTTAAAATATATATACAAAAAGAAATCCATTTATTTCATTGCCTTTCTCAAAGTTGTTTCAAAAAGATATGTATTATACAATTGTTATGCACCTATTAATTTAATAGGAAACACCAATGACGCCAAAACATATTTGAATCCCTTTGAATTATTAGGGATTCAAATATGTTTTGGCGTCATTGGTGTTTCTTATTAAATTAAAAGGTGTATAACAATTGTATAATACATATATTTTTAAAATAACGTTGAGAAAGGCAATGAAATAAATAGATTTCTTTTTGTATATATATTTTAAAAAGAGTACACTTTAAAAGTGTTTAAAAACATTGTAAAACTGTTGGTAAATGAATAAAAACTACATTTTTTTCTATTTGAATCAAATTTACCCGATTATTTAAATTAATATCATTTCATATGCTCTTCATGACATGATATTTCTCTCAGTGTGGTCAAGCTATACGCGCACACTCTATAATAGCGGAAGTAAAAATTTTTTAGTCGTGTGCTCAACATATGCAACTCTGATTACGACACTAATATAACCTCAAAATTTGGGCAGGCATCAATATGTTTCGATATACACATTTAAATTTTTCCCGTATTTTCGGCCGGGTTTTATTTTCGGCCGAGGTAGTAAGAAAAATAGTATACACTACACGGGCAGAAAGTGTGAGAGCCCTGAACTGCGCGCCATGATCTTGGCGCGCAGTGCAGGAATCTCACACTTTCTGCCCTTGTAGTGTAATATACTATTTTTGAAACGTTAACATTACTCAAACGAATAATAAGTACTGTAGACAAATTTTTCTTTGTGTTTTAAATTATCAAGAGTTGACTATATTTAAAGGTATCATAACAAAAAGCGTACTATACTCGTACATTAATTATGTTTTAAGTAACTAATTAAATTATCCCAAAAACATTTCTTATTTACCATATCAGAAGCTTCCTGTACAATTTTAATTCTACTTTAGAACAGGCCTTCGCTGCTTTCGCTTGTACTGAAAAATTTTTATTCTACAGGGCCTGTCACATAGTTATTTTTTTGCGTTTACGCTTTTTTATATGATGCCTTTTCTGCGTATTTGGGTACATAGTAATACAAAAGTGGACATTTTTAAATTAAATTTAATCTTTAAAGTTATATATACCTTTTTCTACTCCTATTGCATAATATTTACAATATTTAGATTTTACCGTATATAATAGTAACCTAACAACGGGAATATTGAACTCATTATTCACGTTGTTAGGAATCAGTGATTGGCCGATTTCAATATTCACTGTGATTTGAACCAATCAGGTTTAAAATTGGAAAAAAGTCCGGTCTGTCTAACAGATGTCATATTATAGGGGTAACCATATACAGTGTTTATTTATTGTGCTGGGATTGGTTTTAAAGTGTAAATCTTGATAAAGTATATTTTTTGAGCAAAAACACCATATTTTTTCAAAATAAAAGGCCTACTATCTCAAATTTAAAAGTTAATTTTTAATAATTCATATCAGCGATTAAAAAAAATCTATGCACTGCACTGGTTTCACCACCCCTCAAAACGACCATATACATAATTTTATTTAAAAAAATTACAAACTGACATCGTAGGCCTTGTATTTTGTAAACATATGGCGTTTTTTGCTCTAAAAATACAGTTTATCAAGGTCTAAACTTTAAAACAAATCCGATTAAAATTGCACAATAAGTACTGTACACCGTATCCTTGTTATTTATGAAAATTACATTATTGGAGTAAAAAAAAATATTAAAATTAATATCTTAGTGACACAATTAGTACTACTAAGTTTTTTATAATTATTCTTACGAGATATAAAAAATATATTAATTTTAACAAGTGAGTAATCAGTAATATATTTTTTACATATTCTTTTTCGAGCAGTGTTGTTGTAAAATAATCTTCATACAAAGTTAAGCGGCAAATCCTAAACAACAAACATTGTATGAAGAGTCTCAACTAAAAGTTATTTATGTTATTAAATGTTTTATTTAACTTTAGGGCGCTACTAAGCTTACAAAGGACGACATCGAAAGGGTATTTGCTTTGTACGATAGGGTGAGAAAAAAATTGTTTTTACATAAATTAAAAATAAATTATAGCTTAAAAAAAAACTAAAAACAGGGTATAACGCACTAAAATGTTAAAAATAATGTAATTTACTTAAAATATTTTGTGGTATTAATAAACTTGTCATTTCTTCATATTTCATGACTATGCTTAAAAGCCGGGGGCGCTTTTTTGATAAGGTTTCTTTGAGAAGCATGTACTTTTAATTAATTTCGACAAAGCGCTTCACGCTTTATAGTATAATTATTGAATTAAGAGGTGAGTTTTATTAATGGCTAATTTTTTTAAGTAAATTAGGTTATTTTATACTTTTTAGTTCCTAAAAGCGTGGTATTAGTTTTTTTAAACTATAATTTATTTTTATACCACATCATTATTTATTTATTTCTTTGTAGTCCTAAAATATATATCTATAGTTACTTAGTTCCTTTCGTCATTTTAAACACATTACAATATCTAGTTATTATTGTCACCAGAACCTAAAGTGTGTTTAAAATTTCAGCTCAATCGGTTAGGTGGAACTTTCACCCAACAGATTGAGCTAAAATGTTTTTCACGGTGGAACTAGACTTTCTAGATTAGTGGACATAATTACTTATAAGTGAATAATAATAATAAAACAAACAAATTATTATTTTTAGGACAACAATGGAACAATCGAAAATGAAGAATTAAGAGGCTTCCTAAAGGATTTACTGGAATTAGTTAAGAAAGTACGTATTTTAATATTTTACATTTGTTCCCTACATTATGATATCATGACAATTTTTTAATGAAAAATTTTCGTTCATAGAGAGGGCAACGAGATAAAATCGCATCAAATAATAAAAACAAAATTTTAAATTTTTTAAAAATTTATTTTATTTAAGTTATTTACCATTTAGGCACCAAAAGAATGTTATAATTATATTAAATTATAGATACGCTTTTATATATTCATTATTTTACTAATGGGTTTATAATATGTATAATGGACTTATGCAAATTAGTCGTTGTATATTTTAATTTTTGTTAAACACATATGTATCTTTTTACAAAAGGTCACTGGAATGAAAAACAAGTTTATATATCTATTATTTACATTATGAATTATTTAAATATATTGTAATAAATCTTTATGTATATGTATACATATATATGTATGCACAGAAAGTGAAACAGTTAAAAAAAAACTAATTCCACATATACAAGGCTATAACTTTTTTTGAGTATGAATATATGAGTATGAGCATAATAGTCGTATAACCAGTTCCATCGCCTCATCTCTCCTGAGCCTCGCACAAGCCATTAAAGTACGCCAATATTTTTCCCACCAGCAACTGCACGGCTTCACCACGTCTGGTTCTGTACCATATTTGGGGCTCGAGAGCGACATGCGAATATTATAAATAGCCTCTTTCGGATTCGCCGGGCCGTTGCTATACGCCCATTAGGAACAAAAGGAGGTGGGGACGGGGGGACAGACATTTTGGTTTTTAGGGAACAATTACGCTGACTCAAATCTGTGTACGACGCGGAATCCCCCTAAACCGGGAAATTAGTATTACTCTAAACATTTAGTATTACTATTTGAAGTTGGGGAGTTGTCAGTTAGCTGAATTAACTTGTTTTTCTTGTCGTAGGCCACGGCTTTTGGTTTAAGTATAAATTGGTTTGTCCGTCTTTGTCTTAGTTTTCATAACGACTGCTGAGTTCTATTATTGCATTTTCGACGTAGGGTCTATAAGTTTCCAGGTTCCTATTCTATTTGTGTCTCAGTTATTTTACACACTTAGAAAAGGTCTTTCAAGTTTATGGATTTTGTGACTTACTTGGTGATTGATTTATTTGTCTTGCTCAGCTGTAATCATGTAAATGCCAGGATTTGGGACGGCTTGGATTTATTGTTTTTTTGTATTGCTTTGTTACTATTATTTTATTATCAATGTTGCGGATGCTCTTTGTTTTACATTGTTTTTTTTTTATTTTTTTTACTAGGCTTGTGGAAAGAAATGCTTTTAGGGTTGTGTAGGTATCTGAACTTGGTTAATGTTGCTAATTTACATATTAGGTCATGCATTCAGTTAAGAGTATTTATCAAAAGTTTGCAAATTCACTTAGAATGCTTCTTATTGTCAGGTGGTTCGTCCGCCAGGTATGCTTTTACTTATAACTTCACACTCTAATACTTCCGTGAACGTAAGGTAGCCTTTGTTTTACTGTAGATACAATTCATTATAGTTTATTTGCACTGTAGGAGTAGTTTATTGTGGGTTTCGTTAACTATGTCTTACCTCGTCAAGAGTTCGAACGTGACTGATAACTTTTTTCTAAATAAAACAAAATTAGCTCTGTTTGTGATAAAAGTTTATTTGTACCTTTAATTTTTTTCTGTCAAGTCGGAAAAACAATATCGGTTAAGTGACCCCTGCAAGGATTGATGTGGGCGCGCTTTAGAGCATTTTCCATCACTTTTCTTAAAACTTTAGGCAATAGCATTGTCTTTTCTTCTTTAATGTTCTCTTTTAGGGCTGCCAAGGTCTGTCGCTTGTGCACATAAATGCGAAACATTCAAAATTCCCAAAGAAAGAAGTCTGGAGAAATCAAATCAGGCGAGCAACAATGGACACGATATTTCTCGGTTGCTTAATTTCTCATTTTGGTGATTTGCTGACTGCTCCAGAATTCTTAATTCTTAAGGTTATTTGAAGTCCCAGACCTTCCAAAAACATTGAAGATAAAATGACAAACCTATCGCCTGAAGTATTGAGAAAAGTAACTCCAAAACGTGCAAATGAAATTGTACTAAATATGGCGGGGGCCACTTGGCCAATATTATTTTCTCGGCTTAACATGAAAAAATGTTAAGGTCCAACTAAACATTATCCACAAACAAAACGTTTTTTTTTATTTACAATAAAAGTTATAACCTTAGGAATTTTACAGAAAATGCTCTAAAACGCACTTAAATGGGCATTAACTCTGGCGGCGCCCGATATTTTTTTCTTGACTTGAACGGGAAAAAATGTAAAGAACTAACTAAACATTATTCATAAACAGAACCGACTCTTATCATTATCAAAAAAATTATAGCCTTGAAAAATCGAGGGATAACCTTGTACACAAGTTTTGATATAAATAAAGAAAATATAAAAAAAATAAATGGTGAAAATGTTCTTAAAATAAAAAATGCCGACGAATACTTAATTAAAATAACCAAACAATGCAGCTCCAAGCCGCATGGTTGCACCAACCCTCTATAGGCAATTATCATTAGTAAAGAAGGAACCAACCAAAAAATTTACTTTTTTTATCGAAAAAAAAGTGTGTAATTAGTGCTTTAGGATTTTAAAACAAAATAAAACACAAACATTGTTGCAAGGCCAAAGTATTTTGTTTTTATTTGAAAGACTAACTAATTACAATTATGTTTTAAAAATAATATCGGTCAAATGTCCTCCACGACTTTGTTGACAATAGCGCATTCGAATAAACCAATTTAACATTACGTTTTCACACATTTGGACCGGTATCTCACGAATTACATTTCTGATGTTGGTTTTTAAATCCTCAATTGTTCTTAGATTGTTAGCGTAGACCTTTGACTTCACATAACCCCACAGGAAGAAATCACACGGCGTTAAATCACAAGATCTTGCTGGATAAATTACAGGGCCATTTCTTGAAATATTTTTTTTACCAAAGTGCTCTTGCAATAACTCCATAGTTTCGTTGGCGGTGTGGCACGTAGCGCCGTCTTGTTGGAACCACAATTGTTCCGGTTGGTTTTCAATAACAATTGGCAAGAAATAGTCATTCAACATTGCCCGATAACGAACTCCGTTTATCGTAACACGCTCTCCTTGGGCATTCTCGAAGAAATGATTCCACGCGCATGGATGACACACCAAACTGTAACCTTTTCTGGATGCAACGGCGTTTCTTCATATGCATGAGAATTCTCCTCACCCCAAATTCTGCAGTTCTGGTTATTAACATAGCCGTTTAAAAAAAATGAGCCTCATCGCTGAACATTACAGTAAGATGAAAAAACGGATCTTCAGTCAAATGTTCGATCGCCCAAGCAGCGAAATTACGGCGATAACGATGATCATTAGGCTTTAGTTCTTGAACCAATTAATTTTGTATGGATGCAAACCTAAATCCTTCCGTAAAATCCTCCAGGTTGATCCATATGTAAGGTCCAATTGCTGAGAACGACGTCTAACAGACAAATTTGGATTATTTTGAACACTTTGTCTTACAGCTTCAACATTGTCTGCATTTCTCACATTTCTGACACGATTTGTTCTTGGATTATTCAACAATATAAACTCATTTTCAAATTTCTTCACAACATTACCATATCGTGCACGTAATCCGCGCCAAGTTGCCTTTACAGAGCTTTGGTTTTGATAATAAATTTTAATAATCTCGCAACGTTGTTCCATGTTGTTTTGTAATAGGCTAACCTACAAAACTGTCAAATAGAAATAAATTTCGCAGGTACAGTGATGCCAAAATTTCACTCTAAAATCCTAAAGCACTAATTGGATCACCCTTTATTAGAGATTTGGAAATAAAATTAAAACGTTTAACCTAGAGTTAACACTAAAGTAAAAAAGGAACCACAGAAATATTCTGACGCTATTATCTCAGTTGGTCCCATATCTAGTTTTTTATAATATTGCTTAAACTTTTTAATGTTTTTTTCGATTTATTAGGTCCATCGAAAAATAACATATTTTTCTTTATTAAATATACCTACCTGTAAGCCCTGCATTTTTTATTTTTTTTTCTAAAAAAACCTTATTTATTACCCCTAAATGGATGGCTTTCTGCAGAATGGGACCAACCCACACCATGATGAAACTGAGAGAAAAGCTATCAAAGATTTTAATAATTTTAAAATTACCTGTTAATTTTATGCCGATTTTGGACTTACGGAGGTTTAAGGGATATAATTTAATAATTTCATCAGGTGGATTTTGTGATGTTATGTGTAAGGGTGACGAAAAAAATGGGCTTTTGTTGGTTGGTTCCTTTCTGCAATTTATAAAAACTACTATCTAATGTATGTATGTATTTAAGAAAAGCGACAATTATTTATTTCTAAACAAAATACAACTGATATTACTATTATAATGGTAATATGAATTAATTTTGATTCTATTTGAAATTCGTCCACATCATCTTCCAACCCCACCTCATCTTGTAAGCTACCAAAAAAATGCATCAAGACTTTATATTTTGCAGAAGCAGGAAATCTTTAAAGACTTTGGTAGTGGGTCTACCAGCCTGCTTTTTTACAAAAAAGATCCAACCCACTTGCAGATATTCTACAGATTCTAATTCTGTATTAGTAATCCACACTATTATTGAATGTTGGTTGGTTAAATGATTAATAGATTTCACTACACTTGCATTTTGGCTATGACCTATTTTGCAGATAAATTATACATACTTAATTAGTTCATAGGCTAAATATCTCGATTTTTTTGGTTTTGTGGGTTGGTTCCTTTCTGCAGAAAGGCGTCCAAATAATTTTAAAATATTAATAAACATAATTTTAGGACTACGATGCTCAAGATCTTCAAGATTTCGAGGAAACCATCCTAAGAGGCGTCGACTATAACCAAGATGGAAAAATCAACAAGAAAGAGCTCACGATGATTCTTCTCGCAATTGCAAAACACAATCAGGAAGAAGAGCCATCCGTTTAAAATCATTAAATCATAAGTGACAATTTGCCAATTTATATAAAAAATATCAATGTAGCACAAATACTGAATGCGAAAGAGTAGAGTAGAATAGTTGTGTTGTAACACCAAATTCCAATTTTTTTTGGAATGTTTATAAAATTTTAGTACAATATTACAATGATAAAGATACATTGAATTATTACATTTAGGTCGGTAGATTTAATTATAATTATAAGTGTCTATCTTCGGCTTTTACCGTCCGTTCTTTGTATCTTCAGTCGAAACTAAAACAAATGTTTTCATGGCTATGATTCAATACTATATCTGTATCTCAGAGACAGTCCGAAAACCGGATTTTAAAGGAAGCCGTTGAAAGGTTTAAAACGCGCCTCTGGGGTACAGATATATATGTGCCCCAGAGCCAATCTAGAGCAAGTCCAAAACCTGATTTTATAAAGAGATTTTAAACGCGGCAGTTTCTTCTTTGCATTTTGATTTCTATGAAACCCTCAGGATATTTGCCAGTTTTCAAATCTCTTCTTCAAAAATCACTCTTAAAATAAATTAGTCAAAAATTACTCATTTTCATAGTAAAAAAGCAGCCACTAATAATTCCAATCAACGAAAATGTGATTATAACTTATAAAAGTAACAGTTTTTGAGATATAGGCAATTTTTCATGTGATATGGAATTGACTATATATCAAAAACTGCTTTACTTTAATAACTTTCGGCGGTATTTTCGGATTTAAGAGAGCAGGTTTTTTGAAATTACCCTACATTGGCTCTGGGGTACAGGTATGGTGTTTTATAATTTGATAAAATAAATGTTTTTTATTAAAATCAGGATTCCCCACTGTAAATAGGTGGTTTCTTATACTTATCACAAAATAAATGTCCTAGTAATTGCAGTCTATTTGTAAATCTAGCATATCGTTAAAATAATAATTTTAAATATTTTGCAATTATTGGTGAACGAGGTATTTATTTTTAAGCCATCTAAATCAACGAAAGTGTAAGCCTAATTATAATTAGGCTTATAATCCTAGAATAAAAATATCTATATTAACCAAATGGCTTTTTCATGTATTTTGAAAGTATATTTACTCGATGTGGCTTTTGCAATATTATTATACAAATCTAAAGGATGTTATTAAGTCCTGTTAAGCCATATCAAAACCATAGAATTGTAGCAAAATAAAAAAACACATTTTTGCCAGAATAAACATATTTTAAGAAGGGACTCTGTAATATCCTTTAAAATATAAATAATAAATGAATCATGGCAATGTTGATATATATGATAATCCCTTTCCAGGTAATCCATAAGACACCAATTCCAAAAGACTTAAGATTACATATTCAGAAAAAAAACCTTTTAAAATATATCTTTCTCTGCTTTTTCTACTGCACAAGCAATTTTCTTGAGCACGCGTTGTTAAAAAACAATTCATATCTTATCTTATAAAAAGTGATTAAATATAGCAACTTATACTATTTGCATGAATATTATATATTATAAGAATTTATATATAAATCATATGATAACGGTTTTGTAACAGCTAAGAATTATGATATTAATGTTTTAATATGTAAGGTCGATGGTAAGAAATACGCATTTTACTGGCTAAAAATGATCATTGTGGGTTTATTCTGGAATGTCAATTTTACTGACTGTGGCTTTACATTTAGTTTACCTTACAGTTTTTATTTATGGACACATTTATGAAGGGTGTCTAAAGAAGGAAATTTTAAATTAAAAACATAGTATTTTTGGGACATATAAGTATATCATAAAACTTAAGACATATTTAAAGACAATCTTAAAATTATATACAATATTACTCACCTATTATTGTATAATACTATCAGAATAAATTTTGGTCAATATGTACCCTTTTGCTGGTCTTCAGAAATATTAAATTTATTGATAAGTTTTTTAAGTACTGATAATCACTAATTAGGTAAAATTATATATTTAATATATTTGCTATATTCGTATTAAGCTCTCTAAAATCAGTATTAACAATGTGGCAGAGGTTATGTTGTGTGTGAGCAACAAATTTTTAATACAAAAAGATTCAATTTAGGTACTATATTATTTAGTATTGCTTGTTTTTATTTATTTTTTTGTTAAAAATATTACAAGTTACATAGTATGCAGTTTATCGAAAATATTTAAAACATTTTTAAACTAAATATTCTATTTCATGCCCAAAAACCTAAAAATAATTGCAACTTACAATGTAAATCGTTATAAATTTGAAAAAACATGTTTTTTGTGTACATTTTAATAATTCGTCCACTTCGAGTATCTGTGTCCTTTAACGTGCATTATTGTATTGTATATAAAAAAGTGTAAAAAAATATTTTACTATTTCATAATATATTATATTTTATTGCTTGTAAGTTAACCTTTTCTTACCTTGTTTATATTTTTATATGATTGCCTCATTAGTTTTTATGTATGAAGTAGATTTAAGTTAAAATATAACAAAACTTACTTGTAGCTAACGAGTTGCCAAACATTCTTGTAAAATGAAGGAAATGAAAAGTTCCTTTAATAATAAACATTGTTTAAAATATGCACTGTAAATTAAAATAAAAATAAATGTTCGTTAAAAATAATTTGTATATGTTTTTTTAACACCACCTAATTAAAATAGGGTTTAATAATAAAAAAAACATCATTTGCAACATTTATTTAACTTTGTCATGCAATAATATACAACATTTATATTTTTTATTGCATTTCACAGCAGTTATTTTATATATTTTATAATAAATTACACTGATCGACATCAGTTTTGCCACATGCTGGTTAAAAACTTTTTTAGGCTAATTGAGGAGCAATCATACAAAACCAGATAAATCCATTTTGACTTCTTGAATGATTCCTATTTCTTTTGGTCAGATAAATCAATTGGAAAAGTCAATTTCAAGCTGAAACTATTATATTATATAAATACTAATAATTATTATTATTATAGATGATAACAAGTTTAGCTTGAAATAGATATTTCCAAAGGATTTATCTGACCAAAAGAAATAGGAATCATTCAAAAAGTCGAAATGGATTTATCTGGTTTTGTCTGATTGCTCCTCAATTAGGGTGCGCTGATTGCAAAAATGTTGCACAATTAGTTGTAAAAATAAATTCGACATTTAAATATAAAACTCGTATATTAATTTTGGTCAATCAAATACTTTAACCAAGGATCATTGGTAATGTAGCTATAGGTTAAAAATTTAAATTTAAAAATATAAATTATACCCTTTAATAAAGTTTTCCCCCTTAAAAATCATGTTTTAACAAAATCGCCAAAATTGGACAATTTTTAAAATTTAAAGTGCTGGGACACGATTTTATTATTAAAATTTTAATGTTTTCATGTCGAACTAAACAGTTTTCCACAATATAGCAAAAACAAGAACTAATTGAGCCAAATCATGGTCATTTTTGGAATCTAAATTACCCTAGAAAATTTATTGGTAACCCTGTGGTAAACAAACAATTTTATTTTGTCGACCAGTGCTATTATTAAACAACAAATAAATTAACCTAAAGAATATTTTGTACAATTAAATAAAATAATTTTTAAAAAAGACTTCCCCAAACTTACATCTAAACTACCATACAGACAAAGCTGATTCTAATTTGTATTATTTTCTATATGAGCTATTTTATTAATATTGATTTAAAATTTACACATTTCAGTAGGCAACATTTTTTAATCCTTTTTACAAATATTAACCCTTTATAAAGGGTTTAAACACCAAGCAAACATATGTATTTTTTATTTTGATCGTTTTTCTATGATTTCGTGTCCACATTTGGTGCACATTTTTTTGGTATCAAGACACCCAGATATCGACAATGGTAAGGGATGATCAACAGATTTAGACCGTACTTGTCTGGGAAACGGCACCTGAAGAAAGTCTTCTGTGAGATAATCATTATCATCGTTAAACTCTGAAAATAAAGCAAAATTAAATTATTGTCTAAAATCAAATGTATTTTATTATTTACACATTGTGATTTTTTGAACGAGTTTTCTGCACAAGCGTAGCGAGTTCGTTTACATACGAGTGAAATATTCTCTTGACCAAAAGTCGCACACAATATTTTATCCAACAATCACAAGGAGTTTAAAGCCAATTTTATTTGATATTGTATCTGACATATGACGTGTAGAGGTCGGGGCAATAGGGGACATAAGCTTGGAAAAATATTAAGTAAACAAAATTTAAAGTTTTTATTTAAATCCCTAGAGTTGTTATTTTGTTATTGTGATTAGTTTTAATGTCCATTAAATTGCAACTTTTAACCTTCTCTGCTATATACTTTTCCAATGAAGCTTAGGTCCCTTATTGCCCCGATCAGTTCAGTCCATGGGCAAAATGCTATTTCGCCCATTAGTGGAGGGATTAAAATTTCGCCCACCGGTAAATGTAAAAAAAAACAAATGGGTATTGAATAAAGATTCTTTAGTCGTTGACTATTATTATAAGCGTTTGGCTGTGATATTTCAAAACTTGAAAATTTACCTACAGTGAGTAAATTACAGTATTTTGTACTTTTTAGTGCCCAGAAGAAAATATTCATAAATGGCGAGAGAGAAATTAGTCAAATTCTACTGAATTAAATAGTCAAATTAGTAGATTTAAATTTAAAAAAAAATTTGACCCAGCCGGGGATTGAACTCGGGTCTATCACTTGTCAAGCTGTTGTCATAACCCATTCGGCCATCAGCCGCTCTTATAAAAATTAATTTTATTTGTCAATAAATATTGTTCATAATATTTTAAAGTTGAATATATTATTTGTGTTGCTGTTTTGAGCTAAACTTTTTGCATCTTTTTTTGTTTTTATGGGTCATTTAACCATGGAGCTTACGTATATGCATTTAATTCAAATAATACTTTGTTGTTGGCCGCAAACGATTAAAGAAATTAGTTACTTTTAACTCTCAGAAATAGTCAAAGATGGTGACTAATCTTAAATTAGACAAACTTTAACTATTTACGTAGTAAAAAATAACTATTTAAAAGTGAAAACGACTATTTTATTAGTAAAAAATGCTGGTACTAATTCAAATGGTAGAATTTTGACTATTTCATTTTTAGAGAGTAGGAAATCGAATTTTATTATAAAACAACAGTTTACATTTTCTAAGGAAATTTACAATGTTCTAAGTTTTAAAGAATTATTTCCCCATTAAAAAACGTTTTGCATACGGCCATTAGAAGATTATTTTACCTGATGAACTGCTACTTTTTTCCTCCGTATCTTCCAAAACAGGTAAATTTGAAGCCTCATCGCGACTTTCAGTGGGACTCTCAATTCCATGAAACAAATCTAATCTGGAATCCAGTGAAAATTGTTTTCCGGACATTAAAATCCCCTTTATTCTTCTACGCATCGCTAGAAAACATAAATGTATAAACCCTTACGACTTCATTTAATATCGTTTAACTATTAAATGGTACCTGGACTGTTTTGTGCATCTTGACGTAACTTTATTGTTCTGGAGAATTCTGCTAAAACATCTCCTTGATCGTAAATAGCCGCAAAGGAACCGTTGACAATTTTTGGAGACATCGGTGAGTTGGAAAGAAGAAGACTTGTTCCGAAGTTTTCGTTTCTTTCTTTGGTATCTGAAATAAATCATGTAGTTTTACCATTTTTACAATTAACTGTTATAAACCCCAAATATGCCTGGGGATAATAAACAAATAAAAATATCTGAAAGACGCAAAGATTTCTGTCAAACACAATATAATTTAGGCATTGTATGATCTGCTTAGTTTATATATAAACTAAGCAGATCATACAGTTAATCGTTATTATTTTATTTAGAAACAGATTATGCTATAATAATACGTTACCTCCCAATGGAACCTTTTGCCTCTTTTCAATTAAACTATCCTTAATCACTTGCGTAGCTACCAATGCAATTTCTTTCCAATCGGTTACAATATCATCTATTGTCGTTCTTGGAGAAGTAACTGTAAATCTTATAACGTATTTTCCCTTTAATGATGCTGGTACACAGTGAATTCTTCCCCTGGCATTTAAACGTTTCCATAGTGTTTCTGTTATAACGTTATCACCCACCAAGCGAAATACCACCAAGCCTAAATACCGTCTTGCCGGTAATTCAAATCGTGTATCTGCTCTTACCAATGATTCGAACTTCTCTGCTAAGAAAACACCCTAAAAAAGTTCATTTTTATGTTTGTTTAGTTTGAAACACATTTTTTTAATTTTAAATGGGTACGGGAGGTACGCGAGGGGTAAACCTATTAAACTTTCAACGTTATATGGACGTTGTGTTCTGATTTTTTCCTTATCAGTCGTTATTAATAAGGAAAAATCCTTATCAATAAGAAATTGACTACTCTCTTAAAATGAATTAGTCAAAAATAACTAATTATAAGTCATATTTGACTAATTGTCATAGCGAAAAAGCAGTCACTAATAATTAGTCAAACTCTACTGAATGAAATGGTCAAATTCGTAGATTTAAATTAAAAAAAGTTTTGAACCAACCGGGGATTGAACTCAGGTCTGTCACTTGTCAAGCTTTTGTCATAACCAATGTGGCTGGGTTTGACCTACACTTTTATTGTGTTTTGATCTTTCATAATTAAGTAGATATTACAGCTCAGGTTCCACATTTTTAATCGCAATTAATTATTTTTTACAATTTAAAAGTCTAAAACCTATCCTCCATGACTGTTACTCTTTCTAGGTTAACCTATATGTTTTCAAATATCTGAGGTAGTAAAAGCATACTAAAAATATTAGTTTACTAAGTAAATTAAACAAATCCAAAGCAATCGAATCAAATATAAAATATTATTAAAAATTAAAAGAAACAATTTTTAAAACCATTTATGCTGGTGTTACAAAAATTGATTCTTTCCCCCGTGAATCTGTTTTTGCTTTAAATTTTATGCAACGGATCATTTTAAATAAGCAAAAACCTCTGTTTACGACATTATAGATGCATGTGATTCCTGAAGGTCAGTTAGAATTTATATGCAGATGAGAGTGTTGCTGTTTTATAATTCAAAAGTTTAAGTTCATTAATTTGCTATTTAAAAAACTATCCACCCTGAACTGTAATATCTCAGTAAGTAGATTTTTTTATAAATATTTTATGTATGTAGGTACAAATGTATTGTTTAAAAATATTAAGGTGTCAAAAGATACAATAACTTATTTCAAATATACAAATTGATGTTTAAAAAATTCATACGAAATCCTAACCTCCGTGAAGCTATCTTCCGTGAAGCTCTAATATTTAAAATGTATAATTTCTTAAAATTCTTGCATTAGTGCAGAACCACTTATGTTATGTTATGTTATGTTATGTTATTACTAGACCTGGTGGCTTCCCAAAAACCCCATTCTAGACTAACATTTAAACAACCAAAAATAAAAAATAATCATTTTCACTTAGGGGACATCTCAATATATTCACCCATATATTATTTCTGTTGCTGTTTTGAGCTAAACTTTTAGCATATTTGTTTGTATTTATGGGCCATTTAACCATGGAGCCTATACTTTTAACTCTCAGAAATAATCAAAGATGGTGACTAATCTTAAATTAGTAAAACTTTAAGTATTTACGTAGTAAAAAATAATTATTTAAAAGTGAAAACGACTATTTCATAAGTATTTCATAAGTAAAAAATGCTGGTACTAATTCAAATAGTAGAATTTTGACTATTTTAAGAGAGTACCCTTGTGATTATTTTCCTTAGCCGTTAATTGGTATGCGATTTTTAATTATAAAAAAGCAGTGGTTTACCCCTCGGTTTATCGATTATGAAAAAATATTGCATCCTTATTGTGATCCTTATTTATTCATATATAGTTGTGCTACCTCCTAGAATGATACTCTACAATAAAAAAATAATGTAAATGTTCAACTCTGTTCTTTGAAATTAGGAAAAGTGGAATTGCATATAAAGCCGTGAAATGTTATTATTATTTTTATTATTAAACACAATATGAAAGCTTACATAAAAATATTTACAATGAGAAAGTTAAAGTTTGTTTTTTAAAAGCAGGGTATCGTTTTCTATAGTCAGAAATTACTTGTAAAATAAACTGCTTTTGATATCCTTTCTGCTCACCTTGTCATTACGTATATTTTTTGTTTTATTGTTGTTTTAAGTTTTTATTGCGTTTTTTATTTGTTACAACTAAGCATAAGACATGGATAAATTGACGAAATAATTTTTTTACATAGTAATTATTGTGCATTTTTAATTTAGCTACAAAATCGTTACTACTTAAAAATTTTAATAAAATTTATTAAAGGGTCGTTTTAAGGGGTGGTGAATCTAGTGCCGTGAATCCCTAATATGAATTCTTAAATATTTACTCTTATAAACTGACAGTACGCTGCGTACGCTTTGTATTTTTTAAAAATATGGTGTTAAGTTAATCAAGATCTACACTTTAAAACAAATCCGGTTAAAATCGCCTTAATAAGTCTGAACAATTTCCGTCTTGAACGGTTTTATTTTCGCCTAAAGATAACCAACATTTAACCTAAAACATGGCAGATAAGTTCTTTTTCCCGATTTTTCGGTTCTAATTACGTTTAAATTTGGTAGTAAAATGATTTTTCTTCTCCTGTAAAATTTGTTAAAATGCGCTTACAGGTTCTTGCAGGCGCAGAGACAATATATAAATAATTGTAGGTACCCAAAATCATTTATACGTAGTTAATAAAAACCAAAATGAGTAAAATTTACGATTTACACACCTTGATTTTCCATAGTGCCTCGGAAGAACGGGATAACGTAACCGGTGAGAGCTGAAATTTTGCACACTTTTTTTTTATGATAGAGAATCGTTTCAAAGGGTAGCACACATAAATTTAGACTTTCAAAATAAGGACCACCCTAACAAACAGCTATTGGTCTTTCATGATGAGAAAACCAAACAATAAAATTATTACATACGTGTCGTATATGTTTTTGTAATCCTTTTATGCCATAATTTCTAATAACAAACCACAGTTTAAGTGCCCTAAATCTTTTGCTTAAAGGTATTTGCCAGTGCTAAAATAAATCGTATTAAAATTCTTGTAAAATAACATACCATATTAAACTATGCTTTATACAGACTTATCTCTTACCATATAATCTATAGCTAGACCTGTTTTTTTAATTATTAAGTTAGTATTAAATATTAACTAAAATAATTAATATAATTAAAATTTACCTGAATATTCATGTGTTAGATACAACGGATTTACATTAAAAGCACCATGCAAAGCTCCACTGTTAGTAACCCTTAAAAATAAGCACAAAATAAATTTTAACCTTAAATTATTATCAATGTTTCTCACCACATAGCTGTGCAATCAAAATGAACCATCAGCCATTTAGAAGGATTAAATGCAATGGAGTTGGCTTTGTCGATTCCTTTTAGCCAATCTCTGAATTCCGGACATATAAAAGCACTGCCTGCATAGGCTGCATCCACATGACACCATAATAATTCACTGTAGCAAATTTCTGATATTTCTTTTAGTTTATCAAAAGCACACGATCCTGTTGTACCAAGAGTGGCACAAACCTAAAGAAAAAAGATTGTTGTCTGCCAATAGGATGCTTAAAAATATTTATATTTTCTGTCGAAGAACGAAAGATTGCTACCATGGTAAAATGAAATTATTTTTGAAGGGCTACATTTGTTATTTTTTATTTGTTTATAAAAATTTAAATAAAATGCATAAAACGCAACGGAGTTTGAATTGCTGTTGGGGAAGTAACAAATAAAATTTAGCTTTCAGATCAAAGTACAAAAAAGTCTGGTAATTGTATTTTTTGAAAGACGATACGTTAATCGACCTACGTAATTAAAAAAGTTATAGAAAACAATAGCAGCTGAAACTTTAAATTATCGCGGGTTCCTTACGAATGTTGTCACTAACAGTTTAAATTGTAAAATATAAGCCTTAACAGTCGGTATTTTCCGCGAGTTCTAATTTTTAGTTACTGTTTGTAAGCCCGACAAAAATTTAAATAGGAACTTGGGTGCAAAAAAGTAGTTCGGCTGTTCCAAATTAAACGTAACAAAGTTACGTACAAGGTTTCAGATTTGTTTTAAAATTTGTTTTTGCGTTTGCCCGGTGAAAACATACAGGGTGTCACCTTTGGGGGAATGATAGTTTACGCCAAAGTAAGAAAGTCTTTTCTTTATCACTTTGATTACTACTGTTTTTAAATAAAATAATTACGAAAATTAACATAATTCTTAGGCAGCCACTGGTTTCGTTGCATTAATGCTAATTAGCAACAGCTGAGTACGATCGACGTATACCGTTAAAATCGTATCGATAAAACCACAGTCAAACAACTGCCGACCCTACTTAGTTCGTCGACCCCAATATATATATATATATATATATATATATATATATATATATATATATATATATTGGGGTCGACGAACTAAGTATAACTATAGTTATAGAGAGTGCGGCATTGCAACTAAATTTGTTTATAATTTGTTCATTTGTTATATTTTAAGGATTTTTTCCACCAATACAGACGGGCAGTCGAACAGAGTTGCTCTCGAATTCTCTTAAGTATACCTATTATATTACTTTTACTATTATACTATTATAAGTAAAAGTATTAAAAAAAATAAACAACAGTGTAAATACTGTGCGAAATTAGTGCAAAGACTTACTACCTGCGCAGGTACAGGTACAGTGCACCTGTCCTCCAAAGTTTTAATAGAAACATTAAATTAGTGCATTAAAAATCAATCTCTTAACAAGTGATTACAGTGAATAAAGTAACAGCAAACCTAACGGACTAATAATCACCTTATGTAAAGAACAAACGAGTCTAACCATAAGTGGAAGGGGCCATCAGCTGCAAAATCTGATAAGTATCTACTAATAACCGCATAACCTAAAACGCAAATTTGCAACAAAAAAATTACAATAATCTATATTTATTCCAATTACATTGAACGAGTACGCAATTAAAAAGTAACCAAATACAGAAAAGTCAATACAACCACAAAGGGCAACTAACGACAACTAAGGATTACGCACAGTTGAGTAAAATAATTCGTGTATGTGTGTTATCATTTCCAGCCAGTAAAATAACAACTGGCTAAACGGCTTTATGCTATACAGTCAGTACTTGGCATGAGGGGTTGAATTTCCACGAAGGTAAAGGGGCACTGCTAACGGCTTGTCGTGGTCGGCAACACTTTGGTGCTGAAGACTAGATTTAGTAGCTCACAAGGGGGCAAACAATTCTAAAGCGGTTACCGATTTTCAACATAATTTCAGCAGTGACTGGAAGGTAGACAGAAAAGTAACACAAGAAACACGATGGTCCCCCCAGCCTGTTGACCAACCGGGCCCCATTTATGAACCTCAGTCGCACAGACGACCCGCTTCTTAAAAATCGACCGTGACCGATAGGAACACATCAGCATTCACAAAAACCTTATGAGGAAAATGACAGTAGCATTTTACCAACTTCCGGAATTCGACTCGGATAGAGACATGGACACAAACGAACAGGAAGTACTAAAAGACCAGTTAGGATAAGTCCAATCAGTGTATTTTCCAACGAAGCCCCATTTAATTAAATGGAGTTATTATTAAATCCCCAGTGGTCCTCCTAATTGTACTTAGTTTTGGATCAGTTTAATGTCTAGCCTAAATCGGGCTTATGGCCCGGCCCGGCGACTAAATCTTGGGAGTGGCCTTAATCATCGACACTGTCATCCACGACCTCCTAGAAGAGATTTACCAGCCGGGTTTAAACAATATTAAACACAATTGCTAAAAAAATATTACGATATCTATGAAATGATTTTCCTAACTACCCGACGTCAAGGAAAGAGTTGGACTACGAGAAACCTGCAGTTAGACGGAACTCTAACAGATGGCGCTTTGACAGTTGTTAACAACATATGTGTTGTCAACACTTGTTGCACACGGCCCGTGTGACGGATTTATTTCACACGGCCCCAATTGTTTTTCATCAAGCCGGTCATCAGAATTTCGTCTATAAAACCGCTGCATTTTTCAATGGACAATCAGTCGTCTGGTGGCTCAACTCCAAATGGTGTTACCAATTGTGAGCCCGAAAACCAACACTAAATCACAGAGAACTCTCAGTGGAATATTAAAAAGTCCAATTGCAAATCTGCCCTGTCTCTCTGTAGGACTGAAAACCACGCCCGTGTCTGCCAGTTGCCTGTGAAAAGCCCTGGAACATTTGCCTGTCCTGATTGAAGGCTATGAAAGAACCTTTGTGTTCACAGTCTACGATACTTTTGTAAATACTGTATATATAATTCTAAAATAATTTTGTACATCTTTTTACCTTGGTAAATAAACCAGTTTAAGTTACTTTTGCATTTTAAATTAAACCACTAACCCTAACTGATTCTTATAAACTCTACTTTCTCCACTGAGTCAACCGGAGAGGAACCTTGGCGGAGTACTTAAGGCCATAACCAGCCTAGGTACGACACAAAATCCTAAAAATATATTGAGTATGAGTATATTGAACGTATGGCAGGCCCCATCGGCAATGCCTTATAATTTGGAACGGACGTGTATTATTACATTTAGTTCTTATTTCTTGTATTAGCATAAAAAAGTAACTAATACTGTAATTTGGAAAATAATGGCAAGGAACGTCACCAGCTGAACTAGACACTAGACACTAGAACACAGTTTCATAAAATTGATCAATACAATTAATAAACAAGTCGTTAAAAGTTAAACCGTATTAAACTACTTGATGTAAACATGTTTAAGCTTGTGTAGATACATTAAAATTTGTTTTTTAAAAAGTTTTACTGCTATCAATTATTATTAATTCTTATACATTTTTACAATTCTAAAAAAGCAAAATCCATATAATCCATTAGTTGATTTAAATTTCAATGAAAAAGGATTACTTTGGGCACAAATCAGACAATATTAATTACATCCTAAGGGATTTAATCAATCCTGGTAGTGCTTATTTTAAGAAGATTCCCCCAATTAGTTATTTGTGGGGAAACGTTGATATACTTTATTTGTAAATCCTCTCTAAGAATTTACTCATCCATTCTATGTGAAAAATTTAATTTCAGATATATATTATGAGGGATATAATTAGTCATGTCATTTATTCTTTCTTTTACAGTTTCGCGAATATTTACAAAAAAACTATAACAATAAAAAACAAAATTACTTTGGAATAGTTTAAAACATTTTCCTTGCTTATCGTTGACAGTTTTGAACAGAAAATACGAAAAATAAATAAATTAGTCAGTAAAAAATTACTTGTTTCTTTTCAATTTAAGTAATTTTAAGTTATATTACCTTTACAAATTTAACCTTCAGGTTTTTGATGCGCTGAATTCGAATCTGATTTAAGAACAAGTTTTTGGACAATTTCAACTCAAACGATTTTTTAGATTGAGAAAAAGTCGTTTTATTTGCACTACCGGCAAAAAAACGGCCACCTGAAATTGGCCACAATTTTAATGTTGAATTTCTCGCGAACCACTCATGTGATTTTAATGATTTTAGGTTGATAATTTTAGGATCCTTTGGATACAATTTTATGGTAGAAATTTTTATTTTAATTTTAGCATATATAGGTTGCAAAAGTAAGAAAAAGTTTTCCCCGAAGAGGTGCATCTGATTTTAAAGATTTTACGTTTAAGTTTTAGGTAGGTTACGATGTTATAGTAAACAAATTTATTCCGATTTTAATTTGAGCATATACAGGGTTTAAAAGTAAGAGGAATTTTTTTCCCGAAATTTGTGGCACCCTGAACTGGGCATCAGAAATAATAGCTAATGTCAATTAGAACATTTTGTTTTTAAATTCACGTTATTATCTCTATTATTAACGAGAGACTGTTTTAAAGTCAACCAACCTTATTAATACCACAATAATAGAAATATCCTTTACAGATAACGGTATTTTTTTGTTTGACAACTTTTACTGTCATATTTCAAAATAACTCAAATCCAACGTATGTTTACTTAAGTGTCCATGCGAAGACTTTTTTAGATACATTTTCTTTAAAACATTGTATCTTCGTTAATAACAGAGATTATAAAACAAATGTTCAGAAAAGATAGGGCTACAGTAAAGTATTCATTGACAGTCGCTGTTCTTTGCTGATATATCCCACAGGTAGTCGAAAACACTTTATTCAAAAAGTTGGTAAAGGAAAAAACAAAATATTCGGAAAACATGGTTTTAATTGACATACACTTATATTTTGTAGTGTATATTATATTATATTCCCCAGTCGTCCGGTAACGCCTTTTGTCTTAATTTAGATTAAATCTATATGCTTTATTATAAGTAGGAGGTTGTGAATATTATAAATTGGTATAGCTCAAAACTCAAAAAAATTTAGCAAAATAGCAAATTAAAAATGTACATGCTCACCCAGAAAGGAATAAGTCCCTTATCTCTGTCTTCCATGATTGCTTTCATTAGATTAGCACCTGTCATGGAGAAGTTTTCATCAGATTCGATGTACCTTAATCGAACTAAACCAATAAGAGCAGCTTTTTCAACGCTTGAATGAGCTTGATCTGAACAATACGCCACCAATTTTCCATTTATTTCGTATTTGCATACTTCTGGGTGCATTTCTTGATACATTTTCATGGCCATGTATCTTCCGGCCAATAAGGAAATCAACGTGGATTCGCTGGCTGTGGTCTATACAAATAAATTGAAGAAATATAAATTTTTAAAGTATATTATAAAAAACTATTATTTAAAGACAAAATAGTTTTAGAGTCTTATTTTAAAGTATAGTATAAGACTCTAAAACTACCTGAAAGAAAATCATCAAATTACAAAATTTTAGACAGTGTTTTATTGTTCAATTATTAACCCACCTGAATAACACCACCACCAATTCCTCCTTTTCTGTGCAAAAATGTTTCTGGCAATCCAATCATTTTGCCTAACCAATTCATAACCATCATTTCTAACTCTGTACAAGCTGGACTGGAAGCCTGAAAAAAATCTTATATATTAAAAAATAAAATAGTGGGTATAAAATTAAGGCAAGCTTTATAAAATAAATTTAGATATAGTTTCTCTCATTTAACTTATTTGTGCACCCTGTCAGGGCCGCAGCTTGAGATGTTGGGGCTCCGGGGCAAAACCAAATTTTGGGGGCTCTATTTTTTAAAAAACTTCGTTTGAGTTTGTTTATAAAATCTCTAAATTCAATTTTATTTAAAAAAAAACATTTAGTTTATACCAATTACTTAATCATTAATGCAAAAAAGTACAAGTAAAGAGTCTTCACAGATGCGAATTCGTCAATTAACTTACTAAAATCAATTTCACGCGCTCTTCGATTTTCTATAGATAATAATGATAAATTGCTTAGTCTTTCTTATTCCATTGTACCTCGCAAATAAGTTTTGATTAATTTCAAGTTCGAAAACGATCATTTAGCTTTTGCCGTGGTAACTGGAAAGGTCAAAACATAAGAGTAGCTGCACATATATCCGGAAAGCTTAAAGATAATTAGATAGTTCTTTTGCATCCTTCATGGAACTTATCCCTTTTTAAAACGTCGACCTATCAGAAAGCAACTGAGAAAAAGAAAATGATACGACATCTGAATTTTTTGTTATATAACTTGTTTTTTCCAAGTCCTTTTTTGATGAATTTGTTAAAAAGTGAGGTTGCAAAACTTGACAAGTATTTAAAACATTCCTGCAAACCATTTTTCAAGTTGCGATGATATAGTTTCGAACATCGGATAGAAATAAGGAACTCGAAAAGTCTGCATCTTTTATCTTGGGATAATTCGTAAAAATGGACATTGACTTTACGCAAATCTTTTGTCAAGAAATTATATTTTAATTTTTTACTACTCACAAATCTTCGATACATCTTTCTGCTATAAATCGAACCTATCTCTAAAACTCTTGATAATCTACAATGCAATTTAGAGCTGATCATATGGAAACAGCAGATTGATCTTAGGTTACTGTAATAATAATTATTAATAAGGCAAAATTTTTTAGATTGCATCTTAAAGAACAAAATGTAACAGGAAATTGAAAGTCTAAATTTTTGTCTTTCTTTATATCTCCCAGAAAAGCTGAGTGGTTTTTAAGATTTTCAGGGCCTTCTTATAGTTGGCCGTCCAGTGTCGGGGGCTTTGGGGAACTGCCCTGGTTGCCCCTTGGTAGTTGCGGCCCTGCACTCTTTATACACATGCCCTACTCTCTATTATTAAAATAATACCTTTCAGGTGGTTTTTAATGCGCTGAATTTAAATCCAACCTCAGAAATACTCAATTACGCCTAACATTATGATGCAATGAAGCAATTCTGAGATCAAGTTTTGGATTCAGCAAGTAAAGAGGACTTGAAAGGACACACTCGACTTGCTGTTACGAATTTAAACAAAAAAAAACTTTACCCATGTAAATCCCAAACAGTTGATGGAGTTGGTTAGCATTTCTCCCAGCATGGAGGGATAACTGTTCAACGCCGGAAAATACGCATGCATATGTGGACTCTGCCAGTGGGTTACTCCTGGCATTATTATCGACTCCATGTCCTCGAAAATGGTGGACCATGCTTCGCCCTCCACCGGAGCCGAGTCCGGTATCTGATCTCTAATGAATCCGGGTTTTTTGTCAGGAAAAACTCGTCGTTCTCTTATGTTCTCCAGATAGTCGACTATGTAGTCAACCACTTCTTTGCCTTAAGTTTTTTTTTTATTAAAAGTTTAGTTTTAACATATCTTAGATTTTAATCGGGAAAATGTAGGATAAAAATAAGATAAAAAATTTATATGAAATTGTATGCTTTAAAGCTTTGTTTTTGAGGTAAGGGTTATAAAGTAACTAAAAAATATTCATGATTCAAAAAGGGCTTAATTTAATGTAATTTATTTTAATTTAATAAATTCAGAAAAGGTGCTATGGCATTCCAACGAGATATTTAAATAAAATTTGGGTACGCTACTGCTTTTTTATAAGTTTTATATTATTTATAGATTAAGCAATTAAACATACAAATTTTTTTGCATTTTTCCTCTTATTTATTTTCTATAAAAAATATATCTTGTTTATTTGCTCGTCCCTGAAAAAATTATGGTAAAAAACCGTTGCGGATAAACGAATTTAATTTTTTACTTAAAAATTGATAAAGAGAAAAAAAATTCAAGATACACAAAACTATTTTTAATATCTTAATAGGATATCAAATTTATAAAAAAGCAGTGACGGGGTCATATTTTTTTATAAACTTTATATCGATAAGTGTTACTTTATCTTTTTAAAACAAAAAGTTTAGTAGTTATACAAAACTACTTTTAATATCCTAATATGATATCAAATTTATAAAAAAGCAGTGACGGGGTCATATTTTTTTATAAACTTTATATCGATAAGTGTTACTTTATCTTTTTAAAAACAAAAAGTTTGGTAGTTGTACAAAGTTTTAATTCATTATCCTAAATATTAATTAGCACAATACTTTTAACACCCGGTATCTGGAAAAGCAAGGTTTTTTTTTGCCTATGGTTATATAAAGTTTTCTTAATATTTTATATGCTAGAATTCCCTACTTAAGTTTTGTAGGCTAATTTTGGAATTTTATAAACAATTATTTATTTTTTAAATGATTGTTAATGAAATGTTTTTTTGGTAAAAAAAAAGTCGAGACTAAAAACTTAAAAAAAAAATATTAAAACATGCGCATTTTCTCCGTTACGTGTAATGTGATTTAATTAATTTGGAGTTTAAATAAATTTTAAGCAAAACATTTACCAAGAATTTTTTTCAAGCGTATAACAATTTTTATACATATAAGCCTATATATAAAGTCTTTGTATTTGTAGGCAGTTTAAAAGTACAAGTATATTATACAGTATCGACCATAATTATTGCAACAACTATAAACAATTTGGATAAAAATACTTCAACTTATATCTCAGTTTACGTGTACAAGGATTTTTCGAGAAAATATTTTTAAATGAAATATTAATAATGAAAAAACGTTCCAAAAATAACTTTTAGGAATTTTTTAAAGTATAAAAAAATATGCTGTTAAGACCGTATTTTTGTTAGTATACCCTGAAAATTTTGTACAAATCAAACGAGAACAGTAACGAAGATACAGCGCTTTAAAGTCGGTCAAAATGGCCCTTTTTGATTACATTGGTCTGCAACGAAATCCTCCTTCAAAAAATTACTTTATAAATATGAAGATTTTAATGCTCTAAATTTGTTCCCGTTGGCCGATTTTTTCACGTCTAGATTTTGTTATATGAATTTTTTTTCAAAATATCATATATTTAGTTTTTTTTTTAAATTCTCTGTATGCGTAAATATTATAAACAGTATATGGGGCAAAATTTGCCAAGTGTACCAGGTGAAAAAAATTTTGTCACCGATTTTGTTTAAACTTTACTTATTTGTTGTTCTTATAACGAAGAATCATAGCATAAAATTTTTTTGCTCTAGGATTGTTCATTCAAGATTTATGGATTATTGAAATTTATCGATTTTTTACTTTTTGGTGAAATTGCTTTTTATTTAAAAATTCTGTTCATCCCTTTATTAAATATTTCAATTTAACCACCTTAAATGATTTTTTCCGTACTTTTCAATGGGCTATACCTTTTTTGCAAAAAAATAAAAATTGTTTTTTTTTTTTTGAAATTTTGCAAAATTTTACATTTTTTGAAACAATGTGTATTTTTTAATTTTTTTTTAAATAGCATAAAATCCAAGTTTATTATGTTGCCTTTGAATAAAAAAAAAATTTAGAGTGGGCCCGACATGTAGAAGGGAAGTTTTTCATATTTGAATGCCGCACGGTCTAGCCATCGAATAGCTACTACACTGCCGTATGCGTTTATACCTAGTAGATGCGAGTAAACGAATACAAAATGATAATTTAAAATGTAAAATTATGTTTGAGTAGTCAATGATGTATTTTAAATATTTACACTGCCGCACGATATAGTTTTTTTTATTGTGTATTAGTCCTTCGGAGGGGACTTTAAGCCCGCGGTCCGTTCCTACCCCTAACCCGCACAAGCCATTCAGTTGGCTTATGGGACTTCTTAAGAAGTAAGGGTGGGCACAAATTGTTTAAGCATAGATTTCGCAAGGAGGGTCAATGATATTAAATAAAAAATTTATTGTTATAACCGTAAAGGCGCCATTCAGCTTATAGGCAAGCCGTTACGGTTATAACAATAAATTTTTTATTTAATATCATCGATCCTCCGTGCGAAATCTATGTACCCCCATGCTTAAACAATTTGTGCAAAAAAATACAGTTAAAAAACTATATCGTGCTGCAGTGTAAATATTTAAAATACATCATTGACTACTCAAACATAATTTTACATTTTAAATTATCATTTTGTATTCGTTTACTCGCATCTACTAGGTATAAACGCATACGGCAGTGTAGTAGCTATTCGATGGCTAGACCGTGCGGCATTCAAATATGAAAAACTTCCCTTCTACATGTCGGGCACACTCAAAATTTTTTTTTTATTCAAAGGTAACATAATAAACTTGGATTTTATGCTATTTTAAAAAAAAATTAAAAAATACACATTGTTTCAAAAAATGCAAAATTTTGCAAAATTTCAAAAAAAAATTGCAATTTTTATTTTTTTGCAAAAACGGTATATCCCATTGAAAAGTACGGAAAAAATCATTTAAGGTGGTTAAATTGAAATATTTAATAAAGAGATGAACAGAAGTTATGAATTTTTAAATAAAAAGCGATTTCACCAAAAAGTAAAAAATCGATAAATTTCAATAATCCATAACTCTTGAATGAACAATCCTAGAGCAAAAAAAATTTATGCTATGATTCTTCGTTATAAGAACAACAAATAAGTAAAGTTTAAACAAAATCGGTGACAACATTTTTTTCACCTGGTACACTTGGTAAATTTTGCCCCATATATACATACAAAATAGGTTTTAGCGAGTTTTAGTGAAAGAAGGAAAGTACCGAAAGTGATTTTAATGGTAGTAAATATGCGATGTGACTTTACAGCATTTGAAAACTTGTCTTTTAATTGCAATTGTTTACGTTCAATATAAAATATTTTGGTAAGTTTTGTGCAAAGATCATATTCTATATATTTTTGTTAAGTATTTTTTGAGTAGTTTATGTAAAACTTAAGCCATAGTATTTTTTCACTTTTTTGCAATAATTGCAATTATTGTTGTTACTTTAATAATATCGTTTTTTATTAAATGGCCTTAATTTTTAAAATCTATGTGCTGTATTCATTTGCATGTTAAATTTCGTGTTTAGAGCACCAAATATAATGTTATCATGTATGAAAAAAATGAGGTGAAAAACTTATTTTTTTTGCAGACCAGTGTTATTTTGCTGAAAAGTAGTCATTTTTGACTGAATATCTGTAGCTTCGTTACTGTTCATTTGATTTCTAACAAATAAAAGGTCTTTAACAGCATATTTATATTTACTTAAAAAATATCCTTAAAAGTTATTTTTCGAACGTTTTTTGTTATAAAATAAATCGGCTTTAAAATATTTCCTCGAAAAAACCTTGAACACGTTAACTGAGATATAACTTAAAGTATTTTTATCCAAAATTGTATAAAGAATAATAAAGGCGTTTTAGAGTTTTTACAGTTGTTGCAATAATTATGGCCGATACTGTACATATAAGTATATACTATGAGTATATATTTAGTTAAAAGGGTTTATGGACTATTTTAATAATTTAAGAAAAAAAAATATTTAAAGTAAACAGAATAAATACTTATTATAGTACTAGTATATACTAGTACTAGACATTGAGTTCCTATCAATAAAAATTTTAATAAATTATATTAACGAATTATAATAATAAACTACATTTTATTGTATAATAGGATGAGTCTATAAGATTGTATAAAACAATTTAACAGAATATAAATGTCAATCTAACTTGTATATATTTCTCAATAAGATTGGAACCTAGCGTTTATTGTACTATAAAGCAAATTGGATTTGTTACATTTCCTAAGCTTATTTGAATATTGTTTGGATGATGTTTTATGGGCTTTCTAGTTTATATGTATCAGGATTTTTTTTTTCTACAGAAACATTAAAAATGTTTATTGAAATGGGTTGATTTGTTGGCCTTTAGAAAATTTAAACGTATGAATAAATAAGTTTCTAAGCTTTGTATATGGCTTATAATTTCACCGATACAAAAGCAGCGTTCGAGGAGGAAATATGGCGGGAAATATAAATTTATTAAAAAAAAATATTTTTGCTACTCCCATCTTTAAAACGCTCTTTATCGTACATGTTTTCATGACACTAAGTGACCTTTTAAATACACATTGACAAGTTGTGGCTTTATGGCGCTTTAGTCATGGTCTGACGTTAGTTTTAAGTTAGTTGACAGTTGTCAAATGTCATACAATCGTTAAAGTAAAGTGCCTTTCTTGTAAAATAATACTTAATGTAAAAATTATTTTATTATCTCAATACAAAAATACAAAAGTATTAAATAGTTTCTCAACGCCAATATTTGAAAAGTTTATATGAAAATTGTACTGACCTTTGAATTGAACTGTCAATTTTCAAGAAATTCATTTCGATTTATAACCTAAGCATAAAAATTTGACATTTGACGGTGATACACAGATTCCCCTATTGTTTCATAGATGGCGCTCTATACAATTTTTTGATTTAAATCATTTTAAGATAATAATAAGTATTTGTCGTAGAAAAAGTATAGTATGCACCTCGTTTATAAACTTTTCTATACACCCATTAATTAAATACGTGTATAAAATGGCGTTTATCAAACTTGATACATAATATACTATAATATAAGTTAACTTTAAATTTAATGCCTTAATATAGGTATTTATTAATAAATTAATATATTTAAAATGCATGACTTTTGATTCATTTATATTAAGCTTGTTTAGGCATGGAAACGGTAATGAGAAAATATTTGACAACTTTAAAAAAACATGTTATTTTAATCCTGTGCCGAAGTTTAATTTTAATATATTCATTGTTAAAGCATTTAGCTTCTTGTAATTTTTTAACAAAACCCATTCAAATTTTTCTTTAAATTTTTTAGAATGAATATTAAAACTATTTAGAAAAGATCCATACCCTCACATAAACTTTTTATTTAAAAATGTCTTACCTCTAACTCTAAACTCCTTACTGTCCATATCTAAAAAAAGTTATAAAGTAAAAACAGACTTAACACACTATGCAATATTTTAAAGATTGTGGTTATTCACAAAAGCTTCAAACATAAACTTTGTTACTAACTTTTACATTGATTAGCTTGCACTTAGCTAATGAAATTTAAAGTCGTCCTAATTTATAAACCATATTACCAAAAATGTTAACACAACTAAGGTTTCAGCTTAGCTTTTAAAGTTGCTAAGCTTTTGGTTCTAATCTAATCTAAACTACTGTCATATTAAAAAAATTAAAGCAAGTAATTAATAATTTAAAGTTAGGTAATGATAAAATAAAACATACCTTATTATCAATATAAAAAAATTAAAATATATTTAAAATATTTTTTTTATTCAAAATTATTAAATTAAATTAGCAATGCATTTATAGTAATTTATAAGAGGACTTACCTTATTAAATTAAAAATCTGATTTGTGAGTTGATAAAGTTTTTTATAGCACTTTTACACAACACCGGAACTAACTGAAGCCAAATGATATCAACAAGTTAGCGCCAACGTGCTTTATATAGGTTTCCCTCCACCCTGCGACGAAAAGTGTGTATTGGATTTTTTTACTTAGAGCTTATTTTAAAATAATAAAAAAAATAATATTATTTTAATAATTATACAGGTTAAATTAGAGAAGCTTAATTTATGTGGAGTATTAGTTTTTATTTTCTAAATATGATTATTATTGTTATTATTAAATTACCCAATTTAAAAACATAACATTTAAAAAAGTTAATAGGAATACGCAAAAATGTAATACAATTAGTAATAATATTATGTTACAAAGGTTATATTAAAAAAAGGTATTTTCATATTTTAAATTTTAAACATTTAAATCCATTTTTTAACATCAGGACTAAGTGATGATTGCCATTTCGCCAATTTTTATTTAATTTGTTAAAATGTGAATACAAATTATAGATAAAACTTTAAATTTAGTATGTTATTAAAATTGGCTTTAACAGAACTCGGCTAAAAAATACCATATTTCCCAATGTTGACTACTTTAATAATATAATTTTTTTAATTGTACCTATATATAATTTTTTAATTTATTTAGCTACATTACCAATACCCCGTTTAAGGTAGCGCAATGATTTTAGATCAAATTTAAGAAACAAAAATTATAAGGTAAAGCTTTCGATACAGTAAATGAAGAAATCATGTGTTACCTTATTAATTAATTTAGTAATTATGGGAACTATCTATCATTTGGAAATTTGTGTTTTGTTGATTTGCACGCGTATTTTGCATTCCTGTATAAAAAAAGTTTTATCAGTTCAATATTGTTGAAAAATAATTATTTATTGCTAATAATAATCAAAAAGTGTGAAACAATCCTTTAAATATTAGTCGAGCTCTGGCTGTCGCAGCAGTAGATTAAAAAAAAAAGTTTAGTCAATATAGTTACTACCTCGGCCGAAAATACAACCCAACCCAACCCTCCCGAAAATACGGGAAAAAATTAAATGTGTATATCGAAACATATTGATGCCTGCCCCGACATTTGCGGCACGAGCGAAGCCTTCGTAGCCCTTGTAGTGTAATATACTCGAAAATACGTTGTTTCGTCCCCGATTCCAATGCATCAAACGTATATTTGACCAATGCATCAAACGTAAACTTTCTGCCGTGGAATCGGGGACGAAACAACGTATTTTCGGCCGAGGTAGTAAGAAAATATTATTTTTTCATTTTGACGGAAAATAGTTTGACGTTTTATGTCTCTTGACAGGTAACAATGTCTATTTTAAGGAATTACTTTTTTCTCCGGGAAAAAGTACTTTCTCCCGGATATGAACACAGAAAGAATATGAAGATATTTAATTTTATAATATTCCATTAAACAATATTTTTCGTAATGTCGAAAAGTTCAGTTATTAAATATCCGAGTAAATATCCAATAGCCTACCAATTAAAATTTTTAAATTCGACATTGATTGATTTTCTGACTTTATTATTATGTTTTTAATATTACATCGTCGTTTTTCCCGTCACAAAAACAGTGGATTATACACGGGTAAAAATATTAGATGCACACCAACCTCTACCCAAAATCTAATACTTTTTACTTGTATAATAAATAACTATATAGTCAATATTGTTGAAAAAAGGTATATTTATTGCTAATACTAGATCACGACTAAAACTTGAAGGAATGTTATACATATAAATACAAAAGCTGTTGGAAATAGAGTTACCTATAACTTTGCTATTAATGTGTGACTTATTTTTAATAAAAATGGTCTAAAAGTTAAAAAAACCGCGTCTCCCAATTTTCTAAACTTTTTGCTTATTATTAGCAAACTTTTTGCTTATTATTGGCAATACATATATTGACTATAAAATTATGGAGAACATTATTTTCTATAAATCTGTTGCCTTCCTTTTTATGTCAAAAATGGATCAATTTAAGCAACTTTATTTTGACAATTTTTGACCAATTAAAAGTAATTAGACTAGTACAAATTGCAACAAATATCACAAAAAAAATATACGAATTTTTTTCATTACTCGTAGTATTAAATACAAAAATCGACAAAAACACAAAACCCATAATTAATTTATGAGAAAACCCATGATTTATTTATCTACTACGTGAGGGACAATTATAAATAAATGTTTGTATATCGAAAATAAAAATTATTCTTATTTTTGGATTCAGCGTGCTCAAGTTAGCCTAGATAAGTTGTTGTATACCCTGCGGCAAAATGGCTGTTGACCATGTAACTGCAGTGGTCTTCCTTTTAAAAATGGTGAATGCTCCGGGATTATTTAATATGATTTTAAAAACCGACGTTGCTCTTACCTTGGTCAAAATTTGTAGTGAGCACACGGTTTTCACCATATAATAGTAATGAAAATCGGGATAAACGTACTTTACATTAAGTACTGGGTTGCCACATATTATTCCACAAAGTTTGATATCTTATTTTACCCTCGATTTTACCTGTGCATTGTTGTAACAATTTAACAGGAACTGAATACCACGTTACTATGACAATGGTATTCTAAACCAAAAACGTCCAAACCATTTTTTTTCTACGTTTTTGCACAAAACTCGTTAAATGGAGTCGTTTTGGTAAAATTTAAGACGTAGAAACATGGTGAAAAGTAAAAATATAGTTAGTTATATTTTTGTTAATTTTATTTCTATAAATTTACCATTTTTTGTATTTCTAGTAAAAAATATTCTTCCTAATTACAGCTTGGGCTTAGAAATAAATTAGATTATTTTCATTCAAGATTGTTGAAATTCCACTCATTTTTCAAATTTAAATTATCGGTAATTTTTAGGCATTCGTGGTATTACCCCTAAAAATTTATATTTATACAGGGCATACCTTTTAAAACAATTTTGTTATTCTAAATAAAAAATTAATAACTTACGAACTTACCCATTGGGGTAAACATTAAATAACATGTAAAAAAATAAATTTTCTTTGCAGTAAAATCTTAAAAAATCTGAAATGTTGCATTATTGCCATTTGTAATGAAAAAAAAATTAAACAAATAAATATTTAACTTTGTTTTATACACATTATCTGAATTTTCTTTCAAGATTATAAAAAACTTACTAAAAATATATATAAATAGTATTTATGCACGATGACATTATAATATGACAATTATAACAAAAATTCTTTGACGTAAACGTCTTTTTATAGCCCGCGGGCGTTATTATGACCCAGCGGGCCGCAATTTTTTCGCTTTTTCAGCTGCTTCCTCAATTTCATTCATCTTTAAACTTTAAAACGGACTAATGTCAGTTGACATTATAATATGACAATTATAACAAAAATTCTTTGACGTAAACGTCTTTAAAAACAATAATATATTAAAAATAATAATATATTAATCGTGCATAAAGTTTTGTATGCATTGCTGGCATAATTGGTTTTTATGGTCCTACGACGCCTTTCTTGCCCTCGCGCTAACGCGCTCGGGCTCGAAATAGCGCCTCGGACCATAAAAACCTTATTATGCCCTTAATACATAAATAACTATTAAAACAACATTGCGAGTTGTTAGTAGTTTCTATGGTGCTATTTAAAATCTAAAAATGAGTTGTAATAACGAATGAAGTCCACTACAAAGAAAAAATATTAAAAAAGTATGGGTACAAAAAATAAAGCAACAGAAAACATGCAGTATGCTAAAGAGAAGAAACGCATAGAAAGTAAAAGAATTGTTTAATTTAACAAAAATAACTTAATACAATTTTTATAATTTACTTTATAAACGAAATTATGGTAGTCACCACGTGTTCGTAATCCAGTGTTGCCAAACCTTCTAGACGAGAATGACAGATTGATATTTTTCGTTTATTATTGCAAAACTGTGTGGTAAAAATTAACAAAAATTTATATGCAAATCCACAGGCATAAGTGCATAGAAAAAAAAACAATTAATTTTTCAATGTCATGTTATAAGATATGCATTAATTAAAGACATAAGCTTCATAGGAGATATATTTAATTAAAGCATATCTTATTACATGACAATAAGAATTTGATGATGTTTTTTTCTCGCATTCCCTTATACCTGTAGAAGTGGCATATAAATTTTTGTTAAAATTCAAAACACAACAGTCTTAGCAATTTTAATATTTTTTTTACTCGGAACCCAGACGGTCAAGCTTTCAAAAACTTTTAAATGGCCTTGAAGTATCCTAAAATGTTTTCAACATTTTATCATAGCCACTAATATCGTTCCCTTAATATCACATGAGGGTGAGAATAAATTAAAAATATTTCAACAGATATTTTGACAGATATTTTGAAAACTTGTTTTCTGGCAATGACAACAAGTTTAATAAATATTCTGTAGAGCACAGACCTACAAACAAAATGGACTGGCCTTTCCTATTCAAAATAAACAATGTTTTGTTGCCAAGAACTATTTAGATTAGGGGTAAAGGGGTAAGGGGTATTTATAAACAAGTTCCCACACCAGTGGCGTTCTGTTTTTAGGGATAAATAAAAATATTAAATTGTACATTTTTTATTGTGTTTTGCAATCCTATGTAAAAATTATATTTAATATATATAAATATATAGGTATAACAAAATACTAACCTTGTCAGTTAGTGTTCCAGATGATGTAGAATCTGGCTCTTTAAATCTAAAATTTAAGTGAATTTATTTATTTATTCAGTTTCTACGCTCCTGGCAGGGTTTGTTTTGTAAATAAACTAACCTATGAAAAGAAAGTTTTAAATTCTTGGATCCAAGTCTTTTACAAACGTAGCACTGCTTCACCATTTTTATATCACTCACTATTGGTATTTTTCACTATAAAATCAAATAAAAAATATTAAATGTTGTGGATTCCAAGTATCTTTTACGTAAAATATAGAAACTTCAAAGTCAAATGTGACAACTGAGGGAAAATATTTATTTTTGTTCCTGGCCACTCTTTTCAATGTAAATAAACCGGTCCATCTTGTTTGTAGGTCTGTGCTGTA